GCACCTACTAAGAATAACCAAAGAGAATATTGAATACCTAGATCTGATATTGATACAAGTATCAAGACCAGATATATTTTTTGACCTGCCACATTTGCACCTGGAAATGGACGATTTTTACTGAAGCACATCACGATATTTACGGACGAAGAGGGAAAGATTATTAATAATGGGAATTTATAGCCCTAGTACTAACAATATATTTTCTCAGGTCGAACGCGCTCCTCCTGGAATCGATCGTGGTTAATTTCTTGTGGATTTGTCACGAACTGACCTAAATTTTTTATCATCTATCACGACACACTGGTGCCCCACCAGAGAATACCGACTGGTCAGGTGGGGTTACCATTCCGTTTTAAACATATTCATTTAAATATATAAAAAAAATAAGTTGTTACAAAATTAATAGTGGTTTAATATTGACACTATCCAAGTCACACTTTCCTATTATTCCAATGGATACGTCTAGACTAGAACTGTTATGTAATTGGCACTTTTATAATTTACTATAGGCACAATTTTACCGTCGCATGAGGATGGTTCTTCTAAGATTTCGCAATAATCTCGTGGGCATGTTTTTTAATACCACATGTGTATGTCTATACCGTTAGCATGAACTAAAATTTAATATCGTTTATTGGCTTACTATTCATGGCGAACAAACTGACGGCTTACCTGATGGAAAAAGATATACTGTCTCTTATAGGCCTGAATTGTACTGATGTTTAATCAGTATTTTGCTTCTAAAAACATTATTTAAGTTACCATATTATAGTACTGACATAATTTTAAACGTTCTTTATTACCAGTTGTCTAATGAACACATCTGGATATAATAATGCGTCCTGAATCGTCATATAACTATTCAAGGCATGCATATGCCAATTGTTGTCGTGCAACGAACACATCTAGACAAAGTATGGATTGATTTTTTTTACATTATATTATTGATATTCTAAATATTAAAACGTAATTAAATTCACAGAGTATATATATTCATAAAATATAATTAAGTAAAAATTGAGTTTTTTTAGAACCTCTATTTTGTCATAATAGACATTCCTAATTTGGGGCATAGCTACAAAAATAAATATACCTCATAAAAATATCCTAAGATATTCGTTTGTTTTCTTCACAATATGTATGACCCGAATATAATAAAAACCCTAATTCATGGTGCCGCCTCGATGTGTATATAGACAGATACGCGTAAAATACGTTGACAAGGTAAACAATCCGCCTTATGAGCTGTCGAACTGATAACGTAGATACATCTTCTACTTTTACGAGTCACCGGAAAATTGAATTTCTAACGATATTTAGACGAATGATGGTAATTCTTACACACACATGACAAATCAGTGATACGATAATGTACCTACCTACGAAATATTATTAGTAAGTCGATTCTTTTCTAGGATATTATGTATCTACCAAATTCCATTCCAATGCGTACCTCCGTTCATCGTGATAAGTAACAAAACAAACTTTCAAATAGCTGATCATTAAAACTTTTTACACTTATAATAAATTTGTTTAGTGTCATCTCTCAAGACATTGTGAGAGACAAAGATGAATACAACACACATACATCGGCGAAAGAAAAACTCTATTTAATCCCTATACTTTGCCATCGATGTAGTAATAGTAGGTTAAGAGAAAGCATTATTTCCCCTTTAATGCAAATACTGTGCGCATAAGATAATAATGATTGTTGTAGTGATGATGATATTATTCAAAGTAGAAAAAAGACGGAATTAATCAATACGAAAAGGGATTGTTAGCAATGAGAACTAGTGGGTAAATTGCTAGCAAATTAGTATATATTTTTTGGCGTGAATTTACTGGGTACAGAGGAATAACACCTGAGTCCTCAGGAATGGCAACGCATGGGGGGTATGGCGAAACAGTATACTCTGTTATGTCCATGGTACTGCTCATGTCTATAGGTTACCACTTTCCATCAGGTGGGTCGTCAGCTTGTTTGCCATTCTAAGTTGTATATAAAAAAACATACGTACAAAAATAAGTTATATGTAGATGTTTGTTTTTAACAACCTTATCATTTTACAGAACAACAATGTGCTTATGTATATTTCAATAATCTTCTAAATTAACATGACGTAAAAATTACATAAACAGAAAAAAATAACAAGCTATGTCGAAAAAAATTTCTGTTGTTTCATAAAATTAAGAATATTTCTGAGTCCCCTCAAGGCGTAAGGGAACATCGTTGTTTACTGATATCAGACGTTTTAAAATATATATTGTATTATCATTTAAACATAAACGTTAAATAAATATAGTCTCTAATTAAAGTGTGTTTAGCTATTTTTTGTAAAGATGATATTAAATCTCATAATTAGTCGTTAAATATTTATTTAGGATTGTGACCATATTTCTCAAATACGTTTGGGTCGAAAAAATTTAAACAACAAAAAAATTAAATCTTGACAGTTAGAGGTGCTAGTGCCATGAAATACTAATTTTTTTTCAAGTTTAAAAAATTAAAAAAAAGAACAAAAAAAAATAAAACGTTCAAAAATGTTTTGAATCGTATTATTCTATGTTAATAATTTCATTTTCAGCATATAATATAAGAAAACGTCTAAAATAAGAACATCGATCTTAAAGGGTACACCAGGCCAGGTAAGTAAACCTAGTGCGCGGGAAAGCGGAAAAATCGGCCCTTATAAGTGCCAAAAGGGGCGCATCTTTAACATGATGTTCTATTTTCGTAACATAGTGCATTTTACATTATATTTTGGAATATGAAATAAATATATAAAAAAAAAAATCTGGCAAATCGTTTTAACAAATATTATAGTTACTGATTACAATTACGATCGCGCTTTTTCTTTAGGTTGATATGAATCTCCTTATTAAAATATTTTTAAATTAAAATACCGAAATGAACTAAGTGAATAAATATTGTTTACTCAGTGTAATAATGTTTGTTTATATTTTTACGTTATTTTTTTTTTTCGTATTTATTAAGTTATATATCTTTTACTATTAATAATTTTTTTTAAATAGAAATAGATACCAGGCATACTGTTGCAGTAAGACATGTAAGTACTGAACTATCGCAAGGCTAACTTTTTTGTAGTAAAACTTATTATCAATAATTCGACTAGATTAAGCATAAACATTCACCGTGTCAGTCTCGGTATAGAATGGGCTACTCCCTCTGTCGTAAGAAGCAACTAAAGAGCTTATGGTAAAGGGATATGCAGCAACGTCCCTCTTGAAACATTTGTAAAAGCTTAACTGTGGTTTCCGACCCACCTACCAAACGTGGCAACTACTGGCAAACTCTTATGGGGAAGGCTTATGTTCAGCAGTAGACAGTTAACTGCTGAAATAATAATAATAAAGGTATAAACATGAAGTTACAGAATTGTTTCATTATATTATCTATCATTAAGAGCACATATCGTGATGGAAAGAGAATTATTGAAATATCCATTAGGAAGTCCAATGTAATTTTTTTTTATACAATTTAGAATGGCAAACAAGCTTGAAGGAAAGTGGTAACTGTCGCCTATAAACATGAGCACCGTCTATATGAGTACCGTGGACATAACAGAGTATACTGTTTCGCCCATGATACCCCCCATGCGTTGCCATTCCTGAGGACTCAGGTGTTATTCCTCTGTACCCTGTAAATTCACGCCATATCCCACCCTTCAAAACGAAACATAGCGATGCAAACACAACTGCTTTACGGTTGAAACACGAATGAACCTTTCAATCGGCATATAACTTACCAGAAAGTTTATTTGTATTATTTTCATGAAAATTATATACAGATGCAATAAATAAACAATGAAACTAAGTGAACCATTTTCATGGCACTCGATACAAAATATGGAATCAACACGGATGTAAACCCTGTTACTACATATTATAAAACACAGTCCTCAGCGTCTGTTCGCGATAAACTCAAAAACTACTGCACCGACTTTCATACTGTTTTTCACCAATGTATATTGTGGAGTGATTCTCGAGGAAGGTTTTTTATATAATTTGTTAAGTTTTTGTATACATTGGATAAAATATAACGATATTTGTTGGAGGTGTCGGAAAAAAGCTGTCTGGGAGCTTTCAACGAAAACTTTGACTAACCCTTTGAGATATAACAAAATAATGTACAGTAGAACTGTGTATCTTATATAGGTTTACAGAAAAGTCCGCGATGGCATATGTTTATCTCTTAAAGAAAACATACTGTATCCATTTTAATAGTTAAAAAAATGGGCAATTATAAAGCGGCAATTCGAAGGGTATTTACACAAATACGACATTAATCCTTATCTTTTTAAATACGTTAGTTGGCTTGAGCATTTCATAAAGATTGCGTTTCCCCTTTACACCATGAAAATAAATTAATACCTTAGGAGATATAGCAAAATCTAAATAATGCGTAACGGAATTAATTCCGTGTCGCCATGAATTGATCGGACCGCGCGGGCGTCCCGTGACTTTACGCCTCGCGTCCGAGCCAGGGAGGTGCCCGTGCGAAGCCAGAGCGGGTTGATATTAAATTATAAAAATAATTGTAACAATCACTTCTACATTGGCAACGTTATCGAAATAAACAAAATTCAATCGAATTAAGCACCTCGTTCATAAACAGAGCTAATTATATAACTACGCACTTTTGGGAAACAGGATTGAACTAGCACTACTATAGATATCGATATTAGGTCAACCCCCACGCGTTCCTTTTGCAAATCATTGTGATTATCCTTAGTGAATTCGTCACGATACAGTTACCGTGGTTAATACCCCGCTTTCTTCACCACCTCACATGCTCTCAGGTATCACGCCAGCGTATCCCAGTAACACCTTCGGGATTTTTGTTAGTTGGCGTCTACGTGATGGTCTAGTTTACCTGATAGTCATTCATAAGAATCTTTGCATGTATTGTTTTATATACTTACATTTTTTAAGGTTACTGATAAATGAATAATGGAAATTATGTAAATGACAGACAATTAGAGTTAATTTTTTATTAGCTACATTAGAGACCATTGCTAAAATATTTATGTACATTTAGATGTTTTTCACATCACTTAGTCAATAATACGTCTGGTCTAAAAAGAAAATTATATAAAATTAATTTAATAGCTTAAAACATTATATAAAAAAATTTCGATATTTGTTAATATTTGAAATGACTTAGAATGAGATAAAAAAAAATACTAACAAAACTTCCATTATGGATAATCCTAGAATGTTCCATGTAAACAATCGTAGAGGCAGAGCTATATTTATAGTCAAATAAAATTTAATCATTATTTTCTGGAATTGAAAGCATCCAGAAACATATTAATATCAAAATTAATATAATTATTCATAAAAGCTGATAATCACGCTCACTACTGTCATACACGTTTACAATAAAGTTAAACTTATAAGAATATGTATATATAATATTATCAATAAAATATTGTCAAAACAACATAGTATAAAAAATGCAATGTTTTGCATAATAAAATGTGACAACTATGTATTCGGTTAGAAATAAAAATTACGTACAAAATTATTAATCGTTACAATAAATACAGTAAAACATTTACATACTTAAAATATTATCATTGATGGCACTATACTTTTTTCGTATTATATAAGGCACCGGATACACGAGGAAGCCATTTTTAAACCTTACATTTCTACACTAGTTCGCATTATACCACAAAACACTAACTAGTTGTTGGCAGTGAACACTCAATACACATAAAAATTTACGATTTTCAATCTAACATGTTATACATAAGATTAATATAAACGAAATCAAAATCATGACAATTTAATACTTAAAAAACCGACTTCAGTTTTGAGAAGTTTTAAAGAGGATCATAATGAAATAATCATCATATTCATAATCATGGAAATTGGTGAACAATTGGCTAAGATTCTCCTGAGGTCCTCCTGAGTGTTGAAGTCGGTTGAAAATTGAGTATCCATTGCATTATTGCGAGAAAAACAAATCCGTCTTGGATTGGTAATCGATTTTACCCAAACATGAGTACAAGGTTATTTATCAGTCAAATACATTTTGTTACAAACGATTAGATTAGATTCAGTTCTTATGTTATTAAGCCTTTATTCAAAATTAGACACTTCGCAATTAATTAATTGCAAGTTATTATATAGAGATATTATTGAAATACTAAAATCATTGCGAAGTAATCAAATCTTAGAAGATTCAAGATTTTTTTCAATCATACCATAATTATTAATATCTGATTTACATATTTCAATATTATATCTATTTGATTTCATTATTATTTGAACATAAGATATTCGAGGGATCAAATATATGACCAAGCCACACAAACACATAAGTACATACAACATCCACACACATAAGTACAAAAAGCGTACAATATATTATTGTTGAGATTAACAGGCCTCATTTGCTTTTTAATTATTATATAAATCTTTAAAAATCGTATAGATGAAACACTTAGAAACAATTATATAATTAAACTTTTGACCGCTTGGACTTGTAGCAGTTGCACTGATCAAGTTCACTCAAATCTGCAACTTTATATTGTACTTGATTTATTTTATTATTTTTGTCTATGACAAATAGCTTCAGGATATTGTCAACTTTTGTTCTATATTCTGTCCCTATTTTATTACTGAATTAATGTAGTAAGCATTTGAACATAAGAAACATACAAGCAAAAGTCTCAGTCGGCTAAATAAAACAGAATGGGTACAAATATGAAAATAATTGTATTATAGATCCGACTGAGGCGGTTAAAGGATTACCAATTTTAAGTTATTTTCTAAAATATGATTAATCTGGATTAGTTCAAGATCTAAAAAAATATTTATTAAAATAAATTACGGGTTTGCGAAATATTAATTGGACGATTTTTTAGTTTCCACGGATTTTTAAATATAAAAACTTTAAAAGGCACATGTTAAGGCAACTTTACATATATATCATTCAATTAAAATCTTCACCTGAATTGCATAAACCTTTCTCAAATGTTACTTGAATTCACGTGCTATTCATACACGACTCACAATTTATTAATTGTAATAACATATATCTACGTACTAAGCTCATAACAATCTATATTTCCTACATTTCTGACGATCATATTTAGACGATACTTATTTCCCGGCGTATGTAGGATTTTTAAATGTGGACGTCGCTTGCTTGTAAATAGGATTTTCACCCTGTGAATAAAACAAATGAATATCAGTACGTAAAACATCTAAAACTAAATAGGTGGTGAATGAGTCATTGGCACTATATTCGATTCGAATGTGTCGAATGTCACGTTCACCACAGCAGTAATAGACAAGTAAAGCCTCTTGACAGATAATAACACGCATTCTTTTTTTTTAATTTTAATTGCTTTTAATTGTCATATTAGACAATTCAAACAATTTATGTGAAAATATTCATATAAAAACTCAAAGTAGAAAGTTATTAAACTATCATAGTATGATTAATTTGATATTATTTAAATAATACCAATAGAAAAGTTTGTCATTTAGAAAGCGACCTAAAATTGAATTGTTATATTACAATGACTTACCGTATCCCACTTAGCCATCATTCTCTCCTTCTCGAAGCGCGCAAACTCTCTTCGGTCGTGTATTGTGGTCACCATCTTCCACAGCATAAGCAATGCCAGCCCCACCAGAACAATGGCCGCGATCACGCCCAACACTATGCCTAAAATAAATACCTACGCAAACACACACGTTATTATTATTATTTTATAAAAATATACAAGTATAAATGTGAAAAAAAAAATCAGAAACACTGCAGAATGATTTTTTTTTTAAATTTACAGATTGCCACACTTCAGCAAGCTAAAGTCACGAACGCTCTTAATAAACAATTATATAACTGAAAATAATTTAATAACTATATGATTTACACTTCTAAAGGCGACAAAATGTATCATATATTTTTCGGGCACATTTTTTTTTTATTTATTGAACTTAGAATGGCAAACAAGCTGACGCCCACCTAATGGAAAGTGGTAACCGTCGCCTATAAACATTAGCAGCACCGTGGCCATAACAGAGTATAGTGTTTCGTGTACGTTACAAATGTGGTCATAGTAAATACAAAATAGTAAAGCATTGCGAGCTACGGTGGTATGGCCTACCGAATTTCTAGTCACTTATCATTAGATTTTGTCGCTTTATATTTGACATTACGTTTTTTCTATAATAAATAATAAAACTACTAATAACGACTTCTTCACATCGACAGTGACTAATGTTACTGCCACAGTAATTTCGTACACGCCACTTCCTAGAAATTACGCGGTGTACTTATACGACAATATGAAAGGGTAGCGGCAGAAGGAAAATTATGTTAATTAAATAATATTATCACACTGACATTGCGAATGGAATAGTTACTAATTATATTGAATATTTATTACTCAGTCACGTCCTAGAATGGATTTGAATGTTTTTTCTTTCATAGATAAACCATTAGGTGTATCTAATAAGGTGCTATATATGAATTAATATACAGGACACTTTTTATCGTAATATAATAGGAGCAAAGCAGTGGTATGTAGCTAGTTTAATATATTAACACTTTAGTAACACATTATTTTTATAACATTTTCTGTTGTTTTATATATATCATATCCGTCATTAACTATCCATTGCTAAACATAGGCTTCATTGAGAGATTTTGCCAGTAATTGCCATGCTTGGCAAGCAGGGTTGGAAACCGCTGTTAGGTTCTGACGTTTAAAGAGGGACACTGCTGCCCATCCCTTGACCGTTAAGTTCCCTTAATCGCCTCTTACGTCACCCAAGAGAAAGGAAGGTATGGCCCATTATATGCAGGGGCCACATATATTTATCTATATATAAAATACGAAAAATACCTTCTTGGGGCAATCTCGTTCCTTCTGCGCTCTGATATGCACTTGGTGTGACTCGGGGTATGAATACACATACAAGTAGAGACAGTCTTCGTCGTCGTAGAAACTACATAAATGTTCGCTTTGATTTTCGTTCGCTGCAAAAATATATTAATATATAAGTATATTACATATATATAATAAAAAATATAATAACATAGTATAGGTGAGCAGATCCTAAAGGACCAAAGAACTTGGACCTTCAGCATTTTCTATATGAATATAAAATGTATTTAAAGTATCTTCCACTTATATATGGTACCAATAGAATAAGCTCTACTTAGTTTGGGATTAGATGGAGATATATTTTCAAGACTATTTATTCATGTTAAAAAATCTGTTATAGATAGATTTAAAGAGGATTCAGTATAGGTAGCTATGTTAAAATTGAGTTAAACTTATCTGAAATGGTAACTATCGCCTATAAACATGAATGTACCATAAGGATCACAGAGTATACTGTGACGCCTATGATACTCTTCAAGTGTTGCCATTCCTGAGCACTAAAGTGTTATGTCTCTGTATCCTATATTTTACTGCCATATCCCACTCTTTAAACAGAAGCACAGCCATGCAAACAAAACTGCTTTACGGTAGAAACACGAATGGAATTATGGCACCCAATCAAACGTCTTTTTAACTTTACTACCAAACTGAAACATCAGCTGATATAAAGTGGTATGAATATACACCATGAATAATCACATGAGTCTGTTATTATTGAGGACTAAGATTTAATTCTTCTTTGTACAATATGAGTGGCATATTCAGCCCACTCCTCTAACCAAGACATAACCTATTAGCGTTGAGTGTTTGATGTACAGAAAGATGAGAACGCCTTGTACAACGTCTTCCTATGGTTGTATTGCCACTCACCTACTAATTTCCCCTCCTCTACAACGGGGAAGAGTGCGCAGTTTCCACATTGTTCGCCGACAGGCTTGTCGGGCTGGAACAGAGGCCCACGCTTGTGCACCTCGCAGAGGACACACTCCTTAAACTCGCCACAGCGGCCCGGACATGTCTGAATCGATACAAAACTGTATATATTATGTATGTATATAACTAAATAACCATATTGTTAATTAAGTGATAATTTCTAAAACATCATCTTCATTATGCAATAATGAGATTATGAAAGATGGACAAAAAAATTTAGTTCTTCCAAGCAATTTTACAATTAAAAAGTGGTCCACCTTACCAACTGTCTGGTCTTCAAACCTTGTATTATGAAGAACCAGACAATGAACATTAAGATCTGAGTCAATTCAGAAAAGTTGTTATCCTATATTGCCCCTATTGGGAATTGAACCGTGAACCTTATTTATGCAAAGCTATATGCCCGTCATTGCGCCACTGAAGTCGTTAAAATTAGAATATCAACAGAAAAACCACAATGACCAAACAGTCTGAAAGATTCACAAGCAGAATTAAAATCCGACGGTTACACAATAGCACGACTAATAAACTATGGGAAAGAAAAGTTCTAGAATGGTGGCACCGTACCTACAAAATGTAGTAGGACTGACCCTATTAAGTAAAGCTAAAATCTCAAATATAATAGAGAAATTAATGAATACTTTTGTTCCGACATCCTTTCCTTTATCCATTTGTACTAATATATTCCCATTAACTTATTAACAACTCCAATTCAAATTTTGGCGCCGACTGGCGACCTCTGTGTTTGAATGTTAAACGAAAAATATCATTATGGCCGTCGCTAGTACCTGAGCTTATGTCGCTCATACTCTAAGTGAAAAAAGACTAGAAAATCTGTGGAAATTCGCGTGCCTTTTACTTGCTAATTGTGAACCTAACCAGTGTTGGTGTGTGGAAAAGGAGTCAAAGCCATAAGGTGCACCCAAGGTCTTCAACTACTCAGCAAGTTGACCCGGTCGGTGAGTCCTACTTTCTCCTTTCTATATCCGTCAATGCATGCTCTTCTGCTGGATTCTAAGGATTCCAATTATGTTTTCTAGGCAGGTGAATAAAATCCCATAGCTTTACTCTGAAGTTTGTCATCATAATCCACCAACCTTATTACATTAACATTTAGCAATGAGCAATCAAGGGCTGAAATTATGAAGATATCGAATGACTATCTTTACTTACGGGGCATTTCTCACAATATTTTCCAGAATAGTGACGATTGTCGTTGACATTGCAGACACATTGTCCGCATACACACTTTCCATTTCCACTGCATATCTCGCCATTTTCTAAAATTAAAAAAAATATATCAAATAATATTTATGCTATAACATTGTTACAGTACAAAATATAACAATATTATCCCATTATTTTATACCAATTATATAATTCATCATTATCATCATATCAGGTTTTAACTTTTCACTCACTGGTGAACATAAGCATCCTCTTGAAGGGTTTTGCCAGTAGCCACATTTGACAGGCGGATTGACAACCGTAGATAGGCTTTAGAGATGTTTTAAGAGGGATACTGCCCATCCCTTGCCCTTACAACACCCACGGGAAAGGAAGAAATGTCCTATTCTGTGCCAGAACTAAACAACTATTAACCCATTATTTTATACCAATTATATAATTCACAATTACATCAAAAGGTAATAAAAAAAATATTAAGTTGCTCAGTATTAAAAAATTAAACATAAGCAAATTCCACTTTACGAAACTCGATACGAAATGATTGTCGCAATCACATGAATTTCAATGACATTTATATAATTTATATGGACTGCCTGTTTTTAAATAATTTACCAAGTTATATAAATATTAAATGTTTCGTTGTTATGCTGTCTTTAGTAATGACGTAACAGAATATTACGTGTGATATTGTGACATACCGGGCGAGATGCAAGGCTTCTGGTCGAGCAGGCACTGGCAGGCGGGCCCGGTGTACTCCGGCCGACAGTTGCAGCGGCCGCACACGCACTCGCCTTGGCCCGAACATAATTTTTCGTGATTCATGTCGCAAGTAAAGTTATCGCATTCGCAGAACGGGCCAGATATCACCTGCAACATGAAAATACAAATGTATTATTAATATACTACTCGTAGACTGACTTTAGTGACATTGAAATTGAAATTAAAGGGGTATTAGTTAGGCAGAATCATCATGACAACGAGGAGTCTAATGCTCAAATCGTCCTTAAATCACGTACCCTAATGTATTTATTGAACCGATACACCCCACCTGCGCGACATACGCTGACGGGGCACCAGCTAGAGATGATAGGCGAATGAATACCTTGTTAGGGTTTTTTTTTTCTTTTTGCTACGGAAATATTGGGAGCCAAATACACTTCGCTATTGGAATACCAAGTGAAATGGTGGTTTGACAGTTTATTTATTTGGTTTGATTTTAAGTTTTTCTATTTTCATATGTATGAATAATTTGGGAGGAAAGAGATTGTTAGTAATGGAAACTGAGAATCCCATTGCTAGCAATATACCCAGCCAGGTCGACCTCCTCGCAGTTCCCCCTGGAAACTATCATGGTTAATTCTTGATGAATTCATCATGATGGGCTGTTTTCATTCTCATCGATCACCCTTCACTGGTGCTCCGCCAGCGTATACCGTTAGCGCAGGCGGGGTCAGCATTCCATTTTCACCTATCAAAAAAAAATTATACTTTTATGATATGATATGTGGAGTAAATGATATTACCTTGTTAGGGTCGTCCATCTTCTCGCACTCGCAGACGCCGCAGATGCAGGTGCCGCGGCCGGAACAGAGCGGGCCGGTGGAGGCGTTGGTGGGGCGGCAGCCGCGCTCCTGCTCCAGCGACACGCCGCCGTGCGCCGAGCACTCGCAGCCCTTGCCGAAGCGGCCCGGCTCGCACACGCACACGCCGCATGCCGATATACCGTGCCCGCTGCACACGAGTGGGCTGTCGTTGTATGCCTGCCAACCGGCAACCGCGGGTTAACAACGTTCATACTTTTGTTTATCGAAGTGTGGCAACGTCGCAATTATTTGTCAATTTTCAAAAACAATTTAAGAATTTACAATGATTCCGATTGATCATTAAAAATTTTAGTGAGGCCATTGTATGCAAAATCCCTGACAGGTGTCTTAGAACTCCATCATTTATAAACCGATTCGAAAATTTATTTTGTTATACTTTCAAAGTGGTTTCATAGAAATTTCATCAAAATCAGATTAACAATTTGAATTTTAAATCAACATAAATCTTCAGATTTGACTTGATTGAAATCAGGTGTTTTTATTTGTTATGGACAATTATTTACTTTGTAAAATCCTTACAATGGTATAGGTAATAAAACTGTAAAAATACAATACTTTTATCATTTTTTACAGCATCTAATTTAGTAAAATAGTTTAATGTCATGTCTTAAAAAAAATAAAGTTATACAATGGCGGAGGACCAGTGGAGAATGAAATGATGAGGATAAAATCCAGGTTAGTCAATCTAGTTGTAGTTGGTAGATCTAGTTTATCACAGTCATAAACTTACAAAGTGATTTTTGTGTTCGCAGGGGCAGTCGCAAATCATTTCGACTTCAACTGCCAACATCTCCGATACGCCGACCGGGTAAATATTGAACATCTGTTTCCATTTGCTGGGATCCTTGGGACATTCTTTCAGTGTTATTTCTGCGGTGAACTTAACGACGTCTCCCACCTGTTGAAATAGTAATATGATTATAAAATGCGTGTCTTATTACATAGATAAAATATCTATTAAGTGTTAGTAATTACCCCAGCATGACCAAGCAACTGTCCGACATGAAAATTTAAAAATAATATTATTACTTATTAGTATTTATCTTAGTCTAGCTTATACTTATGCAAAGATAGTATTACAATTGGAATTTACAATTGTGTGGTTATAGACAAAATATTTTTTTTTAAATAAAAAAATAATAATCTGGCAAGGGTAAATCGAACTTTGCTAATGTAACATAAATTCTGTAACTTGTATTTTAAATGATAATAAAAAAAAAAGAAAACTTGCATAACAAGAGCACAGTTACCTAATACAAAATGGTTTTATACCGTATATTTAAGTATGTATAATTTTTAGGTATAAGTTTCCATTAAACAGTATTATTACAATTGAAATCTATTGATTTTCCTTAAATGCATATAAATGACCAAACTTTAAGAAGTAAATTAGTGAGCTCTTTGAAAAATAAAATATATAAATTATTAAATATTAATATATAATTATATATAATATAAATATTTTTATATAACTGTGTATACTATTTTCTGTAATTTCTACTCGTAAAGGGAAAGATTCGTAAATCACAAAAAATACTTAACCGATTTTTGAAAGCAACATTATCAACGAGTAACTAGGACTATTTTTTTAATAAAAACTACAGCTTTACCTATCTACCCGTGCGAAGTGCTATGAACGTGCCGTCAGTAGCGGATAAATTGTTATAATTACAAAACAACCACCAGTTTTGATATTAACACTATATATTAAATATATTTTACAATATATGTATTTAAATTATGGTAATTTTTACACTGTGTATAATTTATATTTAATTCATATTTAATTTTAGTACTTACGAATCTTTATTTATAAGTATGTTAGAATACTAAAATGATAAATTACGTATGTGTCTCGCAAATAATATTAAAAACTAGGCATTGTAGGTCAATACAATCATACCTTGAGGCCATCACACTTGTTTGTCTGCACGACTTCTTTTCCGCCCAGACACGATGAGTAATATGTTATTTGCAAGGCATCACTTGCAGTATCCTTCATCTCCACTGTTGACGTAATTTTCTAAACAATGCAAAATGTAGTTGTATTATAAAATAAAATAATAAATATTAGGCAACTTAATTCAACTGAGGAATAGCAAACTAACGGCCCATCTGATAGACAATGACAAATGTCGCTATAAACATGACACAACGGAAGCCACTCTGACACTTATGATACCTCCTAAATGTTGCCATTCCTAAGGTCTAACGCCTAAGGTTTTACGCCCTCACACCATGTAGTCTCTCTGCCACAATGCTCTTGAAATCGAAAAACAGTCATGCAAACATAGCTGCATAGTAACTCACATACAATATGGTTTCAAAGGAGTTAGTCCCCCTTCCCACAAGCACTCAGGTTATGGGATGAGTTTTAAAGGCATATTTAAGAGGTGGAGAAAATGAGTTGCTCATCATGTAATGATAACATATGTCATGTGATTACACACTGTATCCTACACGGTGTAATTCGGTCACTATGGTATTGTATTTCCTACACACAAATATGTTATATAAAATCTACTTGTCTTTTTACAATACTATATTGTGAAAACTATTAAACAAAACAAAGAAACCGTGTGCAAATTTAAGACACAATTCATTAGCGCTGTCCTAATTTTTATTTTTTTATTTTATTTAATTATCATGCAAATACATATAAAAAACTTAAGAATATTTAGAATCACTTAAACCTCTTAGACCTTGTGTGTGGCACTTTACATTTCATTCTCAAATAATAAGTACTGACATTAATATTCTGCTATATAGATGTTGGATAGATGGTTGAAGAGATGGTTAGGTCGAGACATGTACTAACATTATACTGTTCCCGCACTAAATCGACAACGTTCCCCGAGTCGTCGCTGAGCACGCCGCTACTGGAGCCCTCGATGTGTTTGCTTAACTCTTCATACACACTAATTTGCTCCGCCGTCACGGCAAATATGACGTTGATCGCATGCTCCTTCACCTGGGCAATTATTATAATATTTTGTTTTAGTGTTGTTATTAGTTTATTTAATTTAGTATTATTCTAGTCTTGATCTTATAATAATTATAAAACTATTTCAATACCTTGAGATTGATCTGTGAAATGCTGGGATAGTCTTGCAGAGTGGAATGTGTGTAGGAGTCGTTTTCCATATGGCATTCACCATCGTTTGGTTGCACTATACCGCCGAGCTAAACCAAATACAATGTTTTTTTTTATTATTGCGTATAATTTAATATAATATATATGTAAATAAAATATATCATATGTTTGATATAGCTTATTAATAAATTTGCAAGATATTCTTAAATGTATATATATGTATGCAGGTATATATTTCTCTAAAATTACTCTAACAGGTATATGTCATGATCATGTATATGTCCCCAAGTATACTTTCAGTTCAAATTTTAATTGAAATTATAAAGTATATAGATTTCATTAGAAAGTAGTGTTTATGTTACATATTATTATACTTCAAAATTTGTAATTTATTTTTATTGGTAACAATGGTGAAGAATACAATAACATACCTTTCCGTCACCAGCGTAATGGAAGCCAGCATCAGTGGAGAATACAAGCAGCCGACGAGCTTGGTCCCGCCAGCCGATTTCGCTTTTGCATACGACAGCCTGCATGATAGCATCGAAGCCGCCCTCCGGCGCGTCTAAGTTACCGGACACATCTGCTTTCGCAACTGCTTGCTACGATAAACGAAAAACCAAAATTTATATACATTTTCAACGACTTTAAAAAATGTACGAGTATGATATACGAAATGTATGTATATAAATATCCAGAAATTTATTTCCGACAATCCTATAACACATACAACATAGTTTTTTTTTTTTTACATTTGTTAGCATTTTTGACAATTAAGGAGTTATGGCCCTTGTTTCTCTGATTTAGGTTCACACACGATGGGATTACATGATTTAGTAATTATATTCAACAAAGTACTCGAATTTTAAATTAAATAAACACATACATACTAAAGACAAAATAACTGTCAAAGAAACTATTTTAATGACACATTTATCTATTAATTAATTACACTATACAGTTACTACAACTATATAATAATATAGCTATGTTCACGCTATCTTTTTAATGAGAACGTTTACGAGAAAAATCAGAGAAAGAACTTAACAATTTTATAATTTGTTTTCTTAATAATTCAACTAACTATTACATAGTACACATTATATACAATAGAATTAAACATAGAACATTGAAAATGTGCAATTACAAAAGACTGCCTTTTCAATAAAAGCAATCTTATACAGACGACCTAGTATAAACTATCAATTAATTAACTATTAATGTTATATAAATTATATATTAATAGTAAACATGCAATTACAAATTAATTTAATTAAACTATTTATTTTTAAGTAGACAGCATGATTGTATTTTATGGGAACGATAAATTTATTTGTGAACTGTAATAATTTATTTTCCTGTTTTATTACTCAATGTGTAGGTATATAAAATTTATAACGTTTATCCTTCCGATTTAATATATTTATTGATATCAATGACACATAACCAACAAAGTCAACACTTGAAATGCAAAATAAACATATTATTGTTATATTAATATACATAATTAGGTAGTAATAACCACTATATCATCCGTGACAAGGGTGATTTCAGCTAGAAATCTCAAATAAAAATACAGAAAAATGGAATGAAAAACATAAATTTTTGAGCCTCCCATACAAAACTGAAAACTTGATACACTGTATCAATATGGGAAGATCAAATTGTTTGTAGTTTTTAAACTCGTGTTTTTTTTTTTTTGAGTAAAACATTCCGTTTCACTGGTAAAACACTGCCTTAATAGAATTATTGTTATTCCGATTTCACGGTGTATAACTAGTTTTTACTATCAACTTTGTCCGTGTTATCACGTATATTGACTGATCGGATTAGGTCCTCCTCCATTTATTTTAAGACGATTAATTATGCCATTAAAATGCCAAATAGCAATAAACAAACTTGCTTTCATATTTATAATATTACTACGGTTATTTTACAATTTTTAGATACTTTTTACAATTAAAAATTACTAGTTTTTTTTTTTAAGTAGACCACAAAACATTTATATTATTAATTTTTAAATACACTTACATCAAAAAAGTCCGTGTCCTTGCTAAGTGACATTTGATTTTTGAAGCCGTACGGCGCTGCGCAACCGTCACATGGCGATATCAAACTGCAAAACAAAACAAATTATTCAACATTTTAAATTATAATTCACTACAAATGAATGTGATCTATATAAGAGCTATCTGGATAAGAGTACCTTACCTTTTTGGTACTGTGGACACGTAAGGCATAACAAGTTTGTCTACGAAAGAGCCGAAACCAATTCGGAAATTCGATGTAATATTTCTCATAGTACTAGATAGCAAACTGCCAAGTGTACTAAGCTTCTCTTTGTCGTTTTTCATCGATCTACTGAGGTCCATAAGGTAGTACAGATCTACTGGATAGTCTTGGGCTTGAGAGTACTCGAATGTCAGGACTTGTTTTTGGTCTGTAAAAATATATAAAATACAATAATATATAGTACTAAATGTGTAGCGATTAAAAATAAATTACGGTTATGAAATGCACCTGATATACATAGAAATAAATATATTTTACAATCGTTTATGTCACCAATTCTTTAATGTACAACTTTCTTTTGTTTTATCCTTGTATGATAATTACTTAATTAATAAAAAATCTAAAACTAGTTTTTAAATTGATAGGAAATCTTATCTATATGCAACCCCTATCGAGTTCGAAATTATTTGGGCATCCCTGAATTTAAACAGTGAGTAAATAATTACAATAAAGTATGACTGGGGGGAACAGGATTGTTAGTAATGCAGTCTAATTGGCCCATTGCTAGCAATACACCCTATCAGGTCGACCACCTCACGGTTCCCCCTGGAAACCGTCGTGGTTAATAATTCTCACGATGGGCTAACTGATCCTCACCTGTCATCGTCACGATCGCAGGCTAATCATCCATTAAAAAAATACAGTATGACTCACAATAATTATTATTCGACAATATTCATTTTTGTTTATAAATCGAGCAATTTATATAAATATGTGATGTATTTTTCATTATCCTCTCAGACGATATTAAACTAACATTCTTACATTTTGGTTAGACACATTCAGACAAACGATATGAAAAAAAAATAAGACCATTTCAAAGCGTTTCATCCTATAATCGTTAGCGCAAAATATGGCGGATCAGCGTATATTGCATCACACATTTGTTGGTATTTATTCTTATTGGGCATTTTCACCAACATCAAACTTAACTAACTAGTTAACTACTCTCAGTTTTACAAGTATGAAAACTTACTCATTCTTAACTTCAGTCCGACCTTCTGGGGTTTGATCTGTACCAAATTCTCGCCGTGGCCACCGGCGCCGGCCGCCCCACCAGCAGCGCCGCCTGCTGCTGCGAAACCACCTCCCTTCGCACTCGCCGACTCTTCGTAATACGACGAACCCATACCCATACGACCTTTTGCTTTAAAAAAATAAATACATTAAATTACAGCAAAAACAACCGAGCCGACTATATCGCAACTTTTTATCTATTTATACTTCTTCTAGTAAAAGGCATTTTAAAGCAGCAGCTTTCCCCGCTTAAATTAACATATAAAAGAGTCAATGATTTAATCTAGGACATAGTTTCTGAACCTTAATTTGTCCATCGCCCACTTTGCCAATTATTCTTTTTATAGAGTGCCCCCATCTTAATTTTACTTGTCATCTAATGCGAATTTAAACAACTATTATCTCTAATTTTCTTTGTTTTTTTTCTACTACCTGAAAAATAGCTAGTATTAGATAATTTACCTCTACTAAGCTCTCTGCTCGATGTAGTAGCGAGATCATTATCCGGGTTAAATATGTAAGCTTCATCACATCCTGCGGTGCCACCTTCAATGGCGGGGTTGAAGCAACGCGGCCCGTTGAACTCGGCAGCGAAGCACCAAGCACAAGACGCCGTTCTGATACAGTCGCTGCAAGTGGTCTTGCTGGAGCACGGGTTCTGTGCGAGCATCTGTTCGGCGTACTGCGCCCAGCTGGTGGCCAGTATATATGCCCATATACTTGCACGTAACATATTCGATCGTGTATACATTTTGTTTGTTTGTAATCAGATCAAAATCTGTAACAATTTAGAGAATCTTGTTAATAATAATAATATACAACTAGATAATTAGATGAAGTATTGAAGTGTGAAGTATTTCTACTAACTTAGGGGTTGTACAATATGTTTGTATGGTTTAGTACCACAATTATATTATATCTGAAACTTCTGTCGTGATTTAAGAAACAATTTATGTATGTATTGTTCCGTTACTTCAAAGTATAGATGATATAATTTAAATCAACTAATTACTTGATTAGATATAGAAAATTATAGGACACAATTATATATAACAGATTATATGTATAGTTCTATTGTCGTTATTCTATCAGTTGTTACTGTCCACTCTGCTGAACATAGTCTCTCCAATAAGGGAGATTTTGTCAGTAGTTGCCACGCTTGGCAGACGGGTTGACAACCGCAGTTTGGCTTTTGACGATGTTTTAAGAGGATCGTTACTACCCATCCCTCCACCACTAGCTCCCTTAGTCGCCTATTACGACACCCACGGGAAAGGAATGGGTGGCCTATTCTATGCCAGAACACACACGTAACTATTATGTACCCTGTAATTATACAGATATAATAAAACCTTATACAGACATATTAAAATAAAATCACTTTATACACATATCTACAAAATAAATGTATGTCATTTATGGGCTGATGATCGTATTTTTCAATGGAAAAGATACTTTTAGAGACATACGACAATAACTTACCTACATAAAATATCTAAATCCTAGAGATCAATACATAAATACATAACTAGCGGTAGCGCACAGTGACGTAATATAAGAATCAATGGATTCGAATAGTAAACTAGCGCACGTGGACTACGGATACGGGACAAATAGAGCTCGCACCTGTGGGCGGCCGGCGAGAAAGGGCGTCGCCCACGCGCTCGTATCGAGGCCGACAGCGCCGACTCCAAGCAAGCTTCGTCCGTGGGATATATCGTCTATATTGTGTGCGGATAACAGATTTCAAGTGGGCTCAAACGTTACTAGCATGCAGTAGGCAGGCCCAGACAAAAAACAAGCTACATACAGCCAGTTGGCGAAGTTATGATCATATTTTTTATCGGTAGTTAGAAATACATTGACAACCTGATACATCACACAATTGACTATACCTCACTAGATATCCTTAATTTTAATGACTAGTTACTACTCCGTTACTTTTAGTTACTACTAGCTGTTGCCAGCGACTTCGTCCGCGTTTTCGTCGTTTTTCGTAAAATAAGTAGCCTATGTCCTTCCTCACGGTTTAGGGGTTTTGATGTAACAGACAGATTTCCCTTCACTCTCTACTCCTATTGATCGTAGCGTGATAAAAAGTACACTATAACCTGCCCAGGAGTATGAAGGAAAATTTTACCGAGTTTCGTTAAAATCTGTCAAGTAGTTTTTGTTTCTTTAACGAACATACAGACTGACAGACAGAGAAAAAAATTACTGAATGCATTTTTGGCATCAGTATCGTTCACTAATCACCCGCTGATAGTTATTTTGGAAATATATTTCATGTACAGAATTGACCTCTCTACAGATTTATTATAAGTATAGATTCTTTGTCTTTTCTGTCTCAAATGTTAAGTTTTAGATTTTCACGCTGAATTATGATTTATAAAAAATGAAAATATAGACTTTAATCAATTAGGATCAGAGACGCGCGCGTGACATTTCTGATGTTTACACACGTTTATAGGTCGCGGGAACCCCATTTACAATAAGACGGGTCATATGCTTATTTGGCAAATAAGCATATGACCCGTCTTATGTCATGGTAGTATAAAAAATTACAAGAATTTATTAATAAATTATCTAAATGATCGTGTTAATTCCCGCCTGTTATAATATCCAAAAAAAATGCATTCATGCTGGTTGTAATGATATTGTTACGACTATTCAAAAGTAAAACATGTAGTGCAACTACTACATATTCTCTCTTTCTCTCTCTAACACCATGGTCCCATATATGCTCCAGATTGTTTTTTATCTTCATTGCCACTTTACTGTCAATTCTCAGTTGCATTCTCAGGTATCAGGTATTCTGAGGACGCGTCTGATCAATATAAGAACTTGTCTCGATAAGAATTAATTCTATACTACAAAACAATGTAATTTATAATTTAGATATAATAAAATTAAGCTAGTTTTCGTCCTTGGATATTCTAGAATAAACGGCAGTAAAATGCAAATGGGTTAGCAAAATAGGGATCAGAAAGAAAAATAACAGATACTGAACTAATTGTGGTGTTTGCAAGACTATATAAAACTCTAGAGATGTGTGCGATAACTAAATAAGCTATGAACATATCTTGACGCTACAACAATTAAAGACAAAAGATCAATGAATGGGGATATAATATACTAATACAGAGATAAACTGTTGTGCATTAGCAAAACATACTGTAGAATTATTGAGAGAACTTTTACCAATGAACCCTGTTATTTATAAGATGACGCTGGCTGAAATCTAATATATAGAAGATCAATGAAATCCGAATCTCAATCAATGGAAGAGTTGAGTTGCCTCTGCGATTAATTAGTCTCTTAGTATGACTTGTCCAAAACAAAAAAAGCAATAACTTTTTACAATACCCTAAACTTTAAATAGCACATATATCTTAAAGCTTATTACTAAAATCTATATAATCATAAATAATATATAATAGAATAATATACTTGGTAATATAAAATATCCCATTCGATCATAGTGCTTGAAAGACCATCAAAATTCCATTAGGCTAATAACCTTGTTACTATAACAATTTTGGAATTTGTTTAAATCAATCGGTCATAAATCTTATTATTACACTGATAAGTTCCAAAAGTGTTTATTTAAATAATGCACAAGACCGAACCATAACCCCAAAATTTACTGGACGTAGACCTTACCTTAAATAGAAAAACAGTTCATACTAATCCTGTCTTTTTAGAAATGCTAAAAGTAGCTATATAAGTATTACGTTTAGTGTTTCTTAAACTAATAAATATTCACATAGACCTTACCTCAAAAATTTATTACATATAGTTAACTTTTATACACTTATGAACAGCGACACTGTTGTTATCGCAAGTCAGTGTCATATGTTGACTCACACTTTGCAAACAAACTTTATAAACGAAACGATGCACTTCACATATACTTTAAAACATTTCTACTTTAGGCATATTATTCATATAAAATTTAATGCCACTACTTTTATTTATATTACAACACAATTTTTTAATATTAGATACTTATAATAATCTCGCACTCGCCCTAATTGTTAAACTTGATGGATATTCTTAAAAATTAACATACCTGTTTTTAGAAAACAAATATTGAAACAGTCACGTTTAAAATCTAGCATTCGACATCGAGATGTATGTTTATTTTTTAATTGACGTTACGTTAATTTTTGAACGGAGCGCAAGCAACCGCACGTCGTGCGCCCGCGCCGGATATACGCGTGACTAATTGAACAGAAAATAACTTCGTCAGCGGTGGGTGATACAGCAACCGCCGTCAGCGTTTCTTCTTGGAATAAACACTGAATACAATTATTACGAAGCTATGATTGGAAAATATACTTTTATCATACAAAATAAATTGACCCTAAATACTGAAAAGTAGGTCAAATAATTCCAATTTACACACTGTATGATGTTGGGTGCACATTGCACAGCACATACGTACAGTATAATTCCAAAATCCTTTCATAACCGGTTGTATAAACGTTACACCTTGCCCTCTTTTTATCTTACATTAACTTAATATTTTTGAAGACATATTACTTATTATTGTTATAAATGACCATAAATACAAAAGTGTACTTTGCCCATTTAATAAGGAAAATGTAATTAATTAGCAGTAACAGTGACGAATTAGTAAATATTACCGTTATATTAATTAAAATGTTATTAACAAAATTAATGAATATATAGAAGCAGACATATTGTTCCAGACTGATCCTTTAAACGATGCACAGACGTATATGTAGTATTTTATGAATTTGTACAATTTACATGGAATCATGTTTGTAGAATTTGAAATATTCTCCAAAACTATTAATGAATAATCAATCAATATGATTCAAAACAAACGTAGGTCGCGCGAATGACATCATTAGCAGCCAACCTTCATGATCAACTATTCTATCATGAGCATGACGTTACTTACACATTACGGATGACCAACCATATGCAATATATAATTGATGTTGTATATTTACTGCACGTTCATTGTACTCAATAGATACTCTATCTCTAGACAGACCTAAAATTTCGACTCGTAAATCCGAAGTCGTCTTTTGGGTTACATAGTCATTTCGTAGACTATGTAAAACTACTAATTCAAATATCTTTATTCATGTGAGTCTATTACAGACTTATGATATGCAAATCTATCGTCAGTTTGGAATGTTTTCGAGATGAGAAGAACTGACAAGAAACTCAGCTCGTAATATTACGAGTATTTAATAAAATCAAAATGCAATTTATTCATAACTTTATTACTAGCGTAAATATTGATATTTTCTCCATATAATTTTCGTAACCTGATAGTCTTCGACTCTTTAAACAATTTCTTTATGCCTTTAAATCAACTCGAAACGTCTTCTAAAATTGAACAGTTAATACAGCATTTTAACTTCAAGAAAATATTATAAGTCGGAAGGTGCTTTACTAGAGGGAGACTTTGTACAAAAGTCGATTGCTTGGGTACCTCTGTCCCAATTCGTGTTTCAATCGTGAAGCAGTTGTGTTTGCATGGCTGTGTTTCGGTTTGAAGGGTGGGATATGGCGTGAATTTACTGGGTACAGAGGAATGACACCTAAGTCCTCAAGAATGGCAACGCATGGGGGGTATCATGGGCGAAACAATATACTGTGGTATGTCCATGGTACTGCTCATGTCTATAGGCGACGATTACCACTTTCCATCAGGTGGGCCGTCAGCTTGTTTGCCATTCTAAGTTGTATAAAAAAAATACCTGTTAAATAGTTGATCAACGACATGATAGTCAATTTATTTACTAAAAACCTTTCGCACACAGGTGACGTTGTACAGTCCTTTATCGGGGTGTGAAATCCATGTATTGTTATTCTACAAAGCGAATCCTTTTCGGACATAATTCTCTCGTGAAAATCGCATAACGAAGAAAGGCAATGTACCTTTAGAGTTAGCTCTCTACAACGATTTTCGAGATCAACTTCTTGATGAAAATGACGTTTTTTACTTGATGAACGAGGCAATTCAGCTACCATATATGAACTCCTTTGAATCATATCATCATCATATCAGCCTTTAACTCTTTTTTTAACTTTAACTGCTGAACATAAACCTTTCCTTCGGAGGGTTTGCCAGTAGTTCCTGCGCTTGGCAGGCGGACTGGCAGAAGCAGTCAGGCTTTAAAAATATTTTAAGAGGAACGCTGCTACCCATCCCTCGCCTTTTTTAGTCGGCTCTTACGACATCCACGGGAAAGGAAGGTGGTGGGTAAAGGCTTTTTTGAACCTAGGAAATTCGACCATCAATGATCATTGTAATTACTGTCTTTAAAAAATTATTATCCGAGTGGCATAAAATTATTCAATATGAAAAACGATAAACCATCTTAACAGTGTAAGCCTATATAGGTGAACCTCGATCATTTATTTATATCATTACTAACAGAACTGTATCCTTCGTTCCCGGTATCCAGTTTCCATATATTGACAATAACGGTGATGGGGTGCAGTGGACGAGGTCAATGACATCCCCAGTTTGCAGTAGCGGGCACGGAAATTACTGTACTGTAATTACTGTACAAAGTATCCACTTATAAATGTAAGGATTATTTTATACATAAATATATGTACAATTAAGTAGCATTAGAAACTTAGTTTTCTTTGTGATCACGATAATTTCGACCCTCTTTAGTTGAGAAATTCTATAGTAGGTCACCATCTTTATATATGTATGAAGGCCTATGATGTAACTTACAAAACAACGGTCTTCTTGTGCCCTCCAAAGCCAAACCACAGAAGAAACGCATTTTATTTTTTTTATTATGATTATGAGAACAATAAAACCTTATCGCATAGCGTACCTATACCAAACCGTCCAACCGGGATTGTTAGTAATAGGGTCTAAATTACCCATTGCCAGCAATATACACCATCAAGTCGATCTCCACGTGGTTCCCACTGGAAACTATCGTGATTAATTCTTGTGAAATCCGTCACGATGAGCTGACTGACCTGCTTTCATCCTCACCTATCACCATTCACTGGTGCCCCGCCAGCGTATACCGATAACGCAGGCGAGGTTACCATTCGGTCGGTGATAGGGGGGGGGGGACGGAAAGAATATACCCTGTTAGTTCGACCTCCACGTGGTCCCCCCCTGGAAACTATCGTGCTGAATCCCACATGTATCCATGACGATGTGATAGCTGACCTGCCTTTTCAGGAGGGAAAAGGGATTGTTAGTAATGGGAATTAGCATTCCTATTACTAGCAATATATCCTATCAGGACCTCCTCGCGGTTCTCCCTGGAAACCAATCTAATTGATTCATTGTTGAATTTGTCACATTGGGCTAACTGACCTGCTTCATCTTAACTTATCATACCTCACTGGTGCCCCGCCAGTGTTTATTACAAAAAGTCGTCGGATATGTCGGAGCCATCGCCACCTTTCACCGAAAAATAGTGATTAATAGTAAAAAAAAAATAAGTTTATATTCATAAAAAATAATAGTCAGGACATCTTTTATATTCTTTATAGTTGCTTACTTATTTTAGGTTTTTAATGCCATAAAAATATGTATACACCAACAGTGCACTAGTGGAATGTTGGATGAGGATGAGGGCAAGGCCCATTGTAATTAATATACCAAAAATTATTCATGATGGTTTTCAGGAGGGACAGCATGGAAGTTGACCCCATAAGTTATTATTACCAATTGGGTTATTAATCCCTACTGCTCACAATCTCTCTCCCTTGAGGGTAATACCATTTTTGATGTCGAAATTAAATAGCCTCTGGAGGACTACACGTAACTGTTTCCACCCACTCTCACAAGCTTTTCTCTAATTCCGTCTTTCCCTGATACCTTGTCGTTTTTAAGCTGTTAGAGATCTTATTAATGATAATGAGTATAGCTATCCATAGAACTTCTCAATTGCACTTAAAATCTCAGATATGGTAGAAATTATATCACCAATGTCTATCTTCAACTTTGTCAATTGGCTTCACCCAATAGCAAAATCTCTGACATATACTTCGGAGCCTTGATTCGGTTCTATTACATGTGCTTGTTGTATTGAATTGGTGTATGTCATGGCATTATACACTTGGATTTCTACCTATTAAGCTGTCTATATTTTAACATAGACATTGACAACTGGAACTGTTCCCTCATAAGATCCAGAGTTTGGAGAACTAGGATTTTGCCAAAAAAATATGGCTAAAAATAAGAAAATGTAAATTGTAATAAATCACTCCATAATATAGTTTTTTTGCTACCTTATAGCACCTTAACAGCTTAACAACCAATTACTATATTATTTAGTATATACATACTAAAGTTTATAACTTTACATACTATTATTTTAACTACATAATTTTATTTCTTCAACTACAAACTGAAGAGTAATAACATAATATGTTTCTTGAATTATTAGGTATAAAATTATTTATCGCTTTTGGAATGGAGAAGAATATAGGCTAAATTCATTAATACAAATGTTGGAGTCAGATCAAAGTTATTTTAAACCAAGAACCAATACACATCCCAAGCTAGTACAATTATAATTGACTAGTTAATAGTATAAGCTTAAAGAAAAATTCAATTAGAGCAGAGACACAGGAAACAGCCATCTCTTATGAGTGTCCACAAAATATGGCTGTTTTTTAATGTTGTTAATTTTTATAAAGTGGTTTAAACTTTTAAATTACTAATTAACAAAATGTTTTGCTATTTGAGTTGATATGTTTCATTAGGGCAATTAATTCTGTTTTTTAATTTCATGAAAATTTTACATACATATTATATAATAAATTTTTTTACTGGAAATATTTTCAGAGAAAAGTAAAAATAAAATGTTCCAAATATCAGGTGTAATTCTTTTAGAATATTATAAGAAACAATCAAATTAAAACTAAAAATAATTAGAAAAAGACAAACACACTGAACAATATTTTATTGCACTCTAAACCCCTTTCTCATAAAAACTAAAATCTTCTACAAACCTATTTTAACTACTGTTTTAAATTAGGAATATAATACTAAAAAAAAAAGAGACAAAATAGTGAATAGCAAAAATGAGTTTATGAATGTAATATGTTTTATATGACATAACATTTGCTTGTTTTTTTTTTTTTTATAAGTATAGATTTTTTTTATGTAAATTATATTGGAAATATAATAGAAGGGTAGTAGTAGTAGTAGAGAGTATAATAGAAGAATAGAGTAATCACTGATTGGGGAATGGATGGTGGGAAGGAAGTTGGGCTAGATAGATGTTTAAAGATTGCATTCACACAAATAGAGTGGTCAACAAAGCACTCTGTTTATTTGTTTGTTGTTGGTTTGTTTATGAGATATACATGCACGGAAATGATATCAAGATTACTAAATTGAGTAAAATTTTTTCTGTTTGTGAAATTTTAGAGAAATTTAATTTTTGGAGAGAAGTGAAAAAGGCTTAAACATATTTGTGTACAAAATATCTACTGACCTATTTTTTAACAGTTTTGTGTATTAATATATTGTACATAATTTTATATAAATACAATGAAATATAACATAGATTTTACAAAAAGGGAAGGAGAGAGAAAAAAGAAGAAACATAGCAGCTTTCTTTTTCTTTATCATTATTCAATTTGTGATAAATGATAAAATATACTAAAAATTTATACAAGTTTGTGATTGGGTAAAAGTAAAGGAAATTGTATCTATTTGGAGAAAAAATATTTAGTATTTGGGCAAAGATAAAAAACGCATACAACAACCCTTGATAAGATACACAAATCAGTATTAATTTTAGTGACCTAATTTGAAAGTTACTTATTTAGATACTCTTTATTAAATTTTTATCTTTTCCTCTTGAATTAAAATTGACTTATACACTTAAGGAGAAATCAGAGATTTAATTATAATGAGAATTCCATTAATATCGTAAAAGGTAAATCCGACTGTCTCGATAGGTGCTGTCTATGAAAAACATCAGTCGTGGTTGTATTCTCAATTTCAAGTTCTACATCTTACTACAAATAGTCTTAAATTTTCATCTACTAATAATTATAATTTACATCAATCAATAAGAATTTAAATAAAAATGTATATATTTGAAGATTAAAATAAATCAGATCGCCTGTGGCAGTGGAATGGTAACTTGCACACTCCAAACTTCGGTAATCACAAAATAAAAATATATTACTTACCAGTCTTTAATTTTTCACAAAAATAAATATAGACAACGTTAAAACATGGTTAGTTCATCATTATTTCACAAAATTTTAAGATATTTAATATTCTAATGGTAAAGATATGAAAAGCAAACAGAAAAAACACACCTATAAAAACAGACTGACGGAAGGGACAGAAGTGAGTCACTTCAATAAAATGACAAATAATTGAAATTGACAACACTGCTTTTCTATTAAATTGACATTAATAAATAAAATTCAGCTTATTTAACGCAGATTAAAATAACTTTTTCTAATAAACAATTAGGTACTCAAACATTTCATGTGATTTCTTGTTCCAATCCAACTTAAATTATTTATTAATACGTTTTGCTGATGAACGAGAGGATACTGTATCTAATAGACATCTTATAGCTAACACTGACGAAATTGAGAACTCCGATCGATCTCGAACTGATATAGATACCGAGAGCTACAACACAACGACTAAAACCGATAATTTAAATGCTGATGTCTCTGGGCCTTCAATAATGGTCAATTCGTTTCAGTGGCTTATTCGTGAAAGAAAACCACCAGCTTATTTAGGGGATTATGAATTACAATAACTTAGATTTAAAAAAAAAGGATAGGTGAATGTAGTATACGAAACTCGTTACAAATACTGGTTTGTTTTTCTATTATTTACTTAAGATTGTGACATTCCCTTTCTAACTACTATTATCTATAATAAAACCAATTAATCGTTATTTTTAGTTGAATTAAACCAATATTTCCCTGTGGTCTATATTGTTTTGTATCATTTGGATCCCTAAATATCTGTATTTACTTTGTTAAAGTATTCTAAAATATTAAGGTTTTTATGAAGATGATGCTTTTTGGGTACTTTTAATTGTTTAGTGCTTACTAAAATGAACTCTAAAATAAAATAAATATATAAATTTATACTAAGCTCAACCACTTTACATACCCATTTACGGTTACCTTAACAGTATACGTTACCATTGTAAAATATATATACATTTTTTTTTTATTGATTTACTTTGTGATGTTGGCAACAAATCGATAATCTTTGCCATGTTGGTGACTTGACGATAGAAGAACCAATAGAAAGGCATTACGGCCTTTCTTCTCTGAAGAACATGGCCGACATTTTGATGTTGCTGTCATGAAGATTTTTCAGTGACATAAAATTTTAACTTTGTAGTTCTTCATGCACGGTTTTAAGTTCCCAGAACATTTTATTTTTTAATCGCTTATCGGTGTTTAGTGTAACCCTGTTTTGTTGTTACAATGGCAGCTGATCGGGAGATTGCTGCTGAAGACAGCATTAGAGTCGTATGTCGATTTCGGCCACTCAATGACTCTGAAGAAAAAGCTGGTTCAAAATTTATTGTGAAATTCCCTTCAGGACCTGATGATAATTGCATTTCTATAGGGGTGAGTTTTTATAGAGTTAACACGTAATACTATGTTCCTGTATCATCGCCCTAAATTAGATCATGATGACTAATACATTACGACTTGTTCACCTGCTACGAAATGGCCTTTCTTTTCTATTCCGCTCCGTTGACTTTGATTACAATAGCGTAAATCTAAGAATAATGTTGTATTTGCACTAATTTAATACTTATTTCTTTGTTTTGCTAAAAATCAATACAAATAGCTTCTCGACCTTGACCCAAGCATCCCTAAATATTTTTTTAAAATGCCCTTAATTTGTTTGTTTATATTATATGAATTTTTTACATTGATTTTATATTTATAGGCTGCATTTGTTTTTAAACTATGGACAAATTTATTCATATTAATATTTTATATTTTGGTGGTGCATATTTACATACAGCATGATCTTATTTCTCTCTAAAAAATGACATAAATAAATATTTTCAGCAATATTTAATTTGTGGTTTTGAATAATAGCATCATATTAGTACAACTATTACAAATCTCACTGTACCATTATTACTTAATCAAGTATATAAAAAATTAAAAAGGTCAAAATATTAACTGTTGTTCCTTGGTATGATTTGCAATTCAATGGTTATCTAGTAAGATTGTGTAGTTTTAGGTAAGACTCACATTTTTTTTTTCACTGAATAAAAGATAATTTTTATCACTAGATTAACACTTAATTATCAAGTTTGCAAATTATTTTAATGTTAAAAGTAATTGTATTTTATTCTGAGATAATAAATGTTGCAATAAAGCTGTACTAGTTGTAATGTTACATAGACATATTGACCAACTTACACTGTTGCAACATTTTTATTACCAAATGTATATTTTGGACCTTTTATTTCAATTATACCTATGAATTATTGTAATTACAATGCTCAGGCATTCATTCCTTTCTAATTCATGTAACCTTCTCTTAACAAACTTACAATAAATTTGTACATATATTGTATACCAATAATCTGTCTTGAGAAAATCCATAATAAGAAACATAAATACTTACTTTATATAAGCTATATGTACATCAGAATTTATTGTGACAGCTGTACTAATAATAATAAATCTGTAGGTAATCTATTAAATTTGATAAAATTTCAACATCATATAGAATCTATTTTTTAATACTAAAATCATCTTAGCATATTTTAATTAGATTCCAGTATTTAAACAAAAACATACAAATAATAACATGAACTAATTATATAATTAATTAACACATTTTTTTATTGTGTACTGTTATTTTAATAAAAAGATACACCAATAATACTGATAGTCTAAATTTCAATTATGGAAAAACAGATTGTATAGGTACCTATAAGTATTATTATTAGAGCTGTAAAATGTTTAAGACCACATTTGTTTAAAAATTTACAATTCATACCAAAAGTAAATCTACATATAAATTACTAACTTTTGGATAGGCACTATAGTATCAATTAATTAGTACTTCAGTTAGAATAATTAACAGTGTTTAGGCCTTGAATCTTAACATACATTTACTATTTGGAACTCTATATATTGTGGGCCTCATGTTTGGATTGATTAAATTCAAGTATAAGCAGTAAATAAATGTCTTTATAGACTAAAATTTATTAAAATTTTATTTTATTTATTTATTTAAAAACAAAATATTTGCATTAACAAAATATTATTTATTTTTAAGTTAGTAGCAAAAATGTATTTGTGTGTATTTAATAACAGAAAATTTAAGTATTTCACACAAAAAGTATATTATATTTATAGAATTATATTAACATTTATATTCTTTAACTCATTATGTTGTTATAACAAGTGTTATTACATTGAATTTCAGTATGTATTAACAATAATATAGGTTTTATAATTTGAATTTAAATTATATGCCACATTTTTAATTAAATTTATCATAAAATAAATATAATAAAATTAATTTTAAATGAACAATAAACAAAGAAGTAAACAATAAAGAGTATCTATCTATCTATAAATATTATAATATCCAATTTAGACACGTAGGTATTTAATATTCTACATGATTCTAATTTATGCTTCACTTCACTGCTACTGCATATAAACATATATCTTTTTACTTTACAACTACTCTAAAAATATTTATATATTTTATTTTTTATAATAAGTAAATTACATCAAATTATTAAATAAGTTGAGAATAAGAAATTTGTGACAATTTCCGCTCATATATTTGGTGAATGTGGTCTATTGGTCTCATGTAATAAACTGCACAAAGTTCATAGCTTTTAAATATAAGTTTGACAAACTAAAACAGTTTAGAAGGATTGATAAAACAAAGAGTAGTAGTCATCTAAAACCAGTGTTACAAGTGAATCACATTTTGTTAATATAACCTATGTAACAGGCATGACTGAATATTCTAAAAATATAATGTTAAATGATAGAGTTATTTTCTTAGCACTAAATATTAAAAGGACTGAATGTCAAATAATACATTTAATGTTTTATTTATTAATTGCAGCAGTATTAAGTACATGAATTGTTGATGGATTTTAAATTGGTGGATACAAGAGCTGGTCTTATTGCTAAGAAATTTCATCTAGACAACCTGTTTTTTACATTATTTACTGTAATTATTTTGAATTTAGAAAAATTAATTATAGCTACCATTTCAGTAATTTTATTGCCACAACAAATTAAATTAATAGTCATATATACTTTATACATTAATAGATTTTGCCTGCAACTATATGGATTTTGGAAGTAGGTAGTAACTACTTATAGATAGTATCAAGATATAGTACATCAAATTTTAAGCACACCCTTCAGAAATATGATTAAAAACAGCATCCAATATAGTGCAGTAGTTTTTGTGTACTTACAGACATAAAAATTCTAAATAATATTATTTTGGCTTTTATTTTTCATATTAAGGCACCTTTTATTTTATCTTATATCAATTTTACTTCTTTATATACAGAAATTGTTTAGTTATAATTTAATTATATTAGTACAATTATTACAATATTACTTTTATTGATTTGTAAATTACAACTCCCTTGTGATTTATCATACATATTTTATTATCTCCTGTTTCCATGGGGACTTTCATTAATCTTTAATGGATTCTTAATTGATACATAAGGAACTACTTGCAAAGTTTCAGGCTACTCTGCTAATTTTATTTGTATAGTCAGGGCAATTTTATTAAGATATTAAGATTTTAAGATATTTAGATATTAAGATTAAGATTCTTATTTCTTAAGATATTTAGATATTAAGATTAAGATGCAGCGAGCAAGGTATAGATTTATTTATTTATCTTAGGTAAATTTACAGAGAACAAATACAAACATTAAATTATAGAACAATATGTTAGGTAGGTTTGTTTATAAACTCTCGCTTATAGTAATTTTTTTTATCTATGCGCTTTGTCACACGTACGCATCGCATATACTGCCTAGATCAAAACAAACATAATTATGAATTGAGGTATATAATGACGAAATTTATAAATATAATGGCTATAGGTATAGATTGTTGACATTTTGGGTGTGTAAAAAAAAACAAGCTATCAAAGCTTATTTGAATAATTAATTCTGTCTATAATTTCATCATACGTCATATATATTAATACCTATATGTAAGATAATAACATTGATTTAATCAAGTCCGTTATTAATTTACTGTTTTATTTTAGGGTAAAGTGTACTTGTTTGACAAAGTATTCAAACCAAATGCAACCCAAGAAAAGGTCTACAATGAAGCTGCAAAAAGTATTGTATCAGATGTACTGGCTGGTTACAACGGCACCATATTTGCATATGGTCAGACCAGTTCTGGTAAAACACATACCATGGAAGGTGTCATAGGTCTGTAATATAGTTACATAATATAATAATAGTAAGAATAAAATAGAAATTACTATATACTCAGAAAAAAACAGGGCATTTATCAATAAGAAATGATAACATTATCATTTAGTTGTACAGATATTATAAGCATTATATAATAGCATCAACTGCCTGGTCAAGTTTGACCAATGGTTGATATGATTGTCGGATTAAAACAAGGGATTCATAATTACCTTGATACAAAAACATTAATACTCAATTATACTATTATTGTATTTTTTTTTAGGTTTTTTTTTTATATCATTGTAAACCTCTAAAGCAGGAGTTTGCTGTTATTTTGTGAGAAAACCAATATAAAAAAAAAATTATAATACACTTTTGTAACTAAGAATTTTTTTTTTTTTTTTTATTATGATGTAAATAACACAGTTACCAATGTAATGTTTTCTCCTTGGTGGCTAATGAACTTCTTTTTTCCATATACCTTAACTATTCATCATGTTGGTATGGATATGAATGCATAGAATGAAAATGTTACTTTACATACCAATCTATTCTTCTAATAATGTACTTAGATCTTATTGTTTATAAATTAATCAAAACTTTTTTGTTTTATAAATGCAGGAGATCCAGGAAAACAGGGTATTATTCCAAGGATAGTAAATGATATATTCAATCACATCTATGCAATGGAAGAAAACCTTGAATTTCATATAAAAGTGTCATATTTTGAAATATACATGGACAAAATAAGAGATTTGTTAGATGGTAAATATATCATTCAATGTATATATGTAGTTAATTCAATAAATTCAGAAATTAATACTAAAATTTTTGGTTTCAGTATCAAAAGTCAATCTTAGTGTTCATGAAGACAAAAACAGAGTTCCATTTGTAAAGGGTGCTACTGAACGATTTGTGTCAAGTCCTGAGGAAGTTTTTGAAGTTATAGAAGAAGGAAAATCAAATCGACACATTGCTGTGACAAGTATGTACTTGATTTATTATAAAGATCATCATTTAATAAAACAAATTAACTGTCAAGTAGGTCATCTCTTTCTTTTAAGCTTAATTAAAAAGAAAAAAATGACAGCATACAAACTGTAATAATAGATTACCGGAGGTTTTTAATTTTTTATGAATAGTCATGATGATAGTAATAATTTTTCATACTTATTCATTTTTCATATCAAATAATGACATAGGTACTCTGCTGATGTTAATATCGCAATGTTCTTTAATTAAACATGCATTTCAATCTTTCAACTCATTGTTATTTATAAATTGTTATCTAACACACATTTTTTCATAACCACAGACATGAACGAACATTCATCTAGATCTCATTCTGTCTTCCTCATAAATGTAAAGCAAGAAAACTTGGAAAATCAAAAGAAGCTTTCGGGAAAATTGTATCTTGTGGACTTGGCTGGTTCCGAAAAGGTAACTGTTTCTTATTTTACTTTCATCAGTTTTAAACAAAATAAACTCAACTTAATATAGGTTAAATAATGTGTTTTGATCATTTAATTTTTCTCTATTAACTAAGAAATTTGTAAAATTGTATAATTCCAAGTTGTATAAAAAAATTACAATGAGCACAATATTCGTCAGGTATCCAAAACTGGTGCTGAAGGTACTGTACTAGATGAGGCAAAGAACATCAACAAATCACTGTCGGCCCTTGGTAACGTAATTTCGGCGTTAGCGGACGGAAACAAATCGCACATCCCTTACAGTGATTCAAAATTAACACGAATTCTGCAAGAGTCATTGGGTGGTAACGCTAGAACGACAATTGTTACTTGCTGTTCGCCAGCATCTTTCAACGAGAGCGAAACAAAAAGCACCCTCGACTTTGGTAAAAGGTATATATTATACCCGTGTCTATTATGAAAATTTGAACTAGTAATATCTTTGAGATTCTGATATTTAAACTTCATTTTTAGGGCTAAAACTGTTAAGAATGTTGTATGTGTTAACGAAGAGCTCACGGCTGAAGAATGGAAACGACGCTACGAGAGAGAAAAGGAGAAGGTGGCTAGGCTTAAGGGCAAGGTAAATATTTATTATTATAAATAATTATTACTTTGCGTGTCCCTATTAACAAAGTCAGATACATATATCGGAATTATTTTAAAGAAGTGTTGTAATAGTGATACTGAATATTTTTCGCATAGGAATATAAATGAATAAATAACAATTCTATAACATGGGTATATTCTTAATTTTACATATGAACTACAATTTCATCTTATATATTGTAAAGCCAGTAAGCTTTATTGGTATGGTCTAAATTTATTTCTTTTATATAAATCAATATTTATTTTTATAATTACTAAATGTTTGTTTTTCATTAGGTTGAGAAGTTGGAGGCTGAGCTTAGCCGTTGGCGGTCTGGCGAGACGGTGCGACCAGAAGAACAGGTTAACTTACAAGAAATTGACGCTGTTACTCCAGTTACATCATTCATTGAAGAAAAACCACCAGTACCGGTTAGTAATAAAATTATTAAATAAATTTATATAATTATATCTTAAATATATAATCTTACATCTACATCTTATTGCAGCCTGTCCCAGTGGCAGTTTCAAGTGCAGTGGAAGATGCAGCCATGCAGGGTAAATTGGAAACCCTATACCAACAATTGGATGATAAAGATGAGGAGATCAATCAACAATCACAGCTGGTTGAAAAACTTAAGGAGCAAATGATGGAACAGGAAGAACTTATTGCTTGCACCAGGTAATTGTTTTACATGATGATTTGATACTTGAATATTGTCAAAAGAAATATTATAAGTTCAAGATTTGCCTTTATCTGATAGGATGTTTAAGTTTTTAAGATATAATAAATTATTATTATTAATATTATAATATTAATATTAAATATAATATTATATTATTGAATATAATTCATGCTATAATTTTGTACTCCATTTAGACGCGATTACGAAGCGCTGCAAGGTGACATGAACCGAATCCAACAAGAGAACGAAGCGGCCAAGGAAGAGGTCAAGGAGGTGCTTCAAGCTCTCGAAGAGCTTGCCGTCAACTACGACCAGAAATCACAAGAGGTTGATAGCAAGAGCCGCGAATGTGACCAACTGTCCGAAGAGTTACAGACGAAACAGGTATACTAACATCTTTACTTAATCAATTCCAACATGTTTAATTTCCTTGTGTTAACATTTCATGTCTACGACTGCTTTGAATTTTGTCTAACAGAGCGCATTGACAAGTGCCACCGCCGAGCTACAGCAACTCCGTGACTTGTCGGCTCACCAACGGAAACGTATCGCTGAACTTCTCACGAATCTACTGAGAGATCTCGCGGAAATAGGTGCTGCAGTAGGCGGCTCCGAACTGGACTTCAAACTCAACGTGGACACGGTTGGCAAGCTCGAGGAAGAGTTTACAGTGGCGCGTTTACATATTAGCAAAATGAAGAGTGAGGTCAAGAACATCGTACAACGTTGCCACTCGCTCGAATCGGCTAACATTGACGCTAATCAAAAGGTGAACTACTATTTAAAAAAAAATTATGTATAAAAGTGTATTTTTAATTACCTAGATAGTTTAACACCATTTTACCTATTTCTCGAATGCAGTACTAAAACATTACTTGTTGTTTCCGTGTCTACAATCTTAAACATAGAAGTATAACCCTTTAGTCTTCAGGTACTGCAATACATGGATGGAACAATATAATCTATCATGTCCTTGATATTACTATAGGCAAAAGTTTGCATTTCTCGTCAGATATTTCGTCAGCTTGATTATCGTTTCGTGTAGTATAAAACAGAAAATAATACTTTATAATTAAAAAAAATTGCGTTATTTATAAAATTATAAACTGTAGATCGAAGAATACGAGCGGTCGCTGGGTGAATGCCGCCTGCTGATCTCGCAGCACGAGGCGCGATGTGCCTCGCTCGCGGAGTCCATGCGCGAGGCCGAGAACAAGAAACGACAACTGGAAGAAGCGGCCGATGCGCTGCGCGAGGAATGCGCCCGGCTTCAGGTGAGTGAAGTTGTTTACTCTGTTCGGAATAGTAACTTTTTTTGCCAACATTTGGTAATTGCCGATCATATATATAAATAAATGGGCGTCTGACTAATTGGGTTATTATTGTTTTTCCTGCATATTGATTAAAAAAAAGACGGTATTATGTCATCAGTTGTTGCTTACTCATTCATTACAAAAGCAGGCTTTGTCATTAAAATATTTGATGTGATTTTGTAAATCTAAAATGATATATTTTGAATTTTATTTTAATTTGTTTATATGATGCACTTGTTTATATGAAGTTATAATTTATGTCTGTTCAACACTGATTTTGTGATATCATTTGAATCATTGAAATATTGGGAATGAACATGAATAAATTATTTAAAAAAAAATCGGTCGCTTATGTTTTAACATATTTGTGGGCCATTTATTGCTTTTTCATCCCCCTTCAAAAAGAAGGTTCACAATTTAGTTTTTCTTCTAAGTTTGTAACCTCATAATTCCTTCAGTTCTAAACTGATTTAGAAAATTATTTTATCTAAAAGGATATATTTACAGATTATTCCCATAGAAACTTTATCAAAATCTGTTTAGTAGTTTAATTTTAAAATCAAATTACTAGTTTTTTGACACAATAGAAGTCAGTTTTTTTTGTATAGATTACAATTTTTAATTGTAATCTATACAATTAATTACCGAATTATTGCATTTGGTGCAATCTGTTCTTTTGGAATTTTTTAAAAACAACCACCGTTGTTTTGGAACATGTGAATCCTGTACTATTTAGTATATATAAATTGAATTGTTATGACTGTTTGATCATCATCAAAAGTTAGCTGTTTTATTAGCATGATGGGAATGGTTGTGCTGGGAGGACGCTTTTCTTAAATTTATACCAATCTGCAGTCATAGTTTTCTGGATTTCGATCCGACATATTGTCGGCCATATTTCAAATAAAGAGAAAACTATTCTTTCATATCTATTCAATTTTTTCCCTGTCATGATATCGCCGCTGTCGTTTTCATCTCGTACCCATCGTTCAAGGCTTCTGGGTTCACGTGTAGGTGTACGAATTGTCGCTCCTGCTTGTCTATGGTGGAAAAGTAATTCGTTTCATCAGTGTTACCTTCGACAAATTACCGAGTCGCCGTAGGGTATCCTCCGGCGCAAATGTGTCGGATGGTGTTTCGAACCGCGTACGCGAGAGGGTATGTGATACATGGTGGTGATGGTGGACGCGTGGCACATGGCAGGCGGCGGAGCGCGTGCAGCTGGCGGCGGCCGAGCAGCGCGCCGACTCGCAGGTGCGCGGCGCGCTCGAGGCGCAGCTCGAGCAGCTGCGGGCCGCGCACGCCACGCAGCTGGCCGCGCTGCGGGACGAGCTCGCCGCGCTGCAGCGCCAGCACCAGGAGCTCAAGGAGTTAGTACATGCGCATTTGCAACTACAAATACTAAATAATCAAATAACTAAGCTGGGTTTCGCTGCTTCACCTGTGTGCATCAGGATATACGGTATCCTATGTTAAATTAGGATATAATATCTATATGCCAATTTAATTCAAATCTGTTCAGCTGTTTAAGTATGATTGATTAAAAAACATCATTACAAATTTTCATATGATATCAGTTTTATACTAAATTAAACATGTTATAATAATATTGAGTGTTACATTAAACATTTTGAAATAATAGTTGATAATATATTAATAAACAAAAATAGATTTTCTATACGCCGCCTATAAACATGAAATTGTAAGTAATTTAAATTTTTTCACCACTCGTTGCATAAGTAAAACAGTCTGAACTGAGTTATTTGATTTATTAGACGAAAATAAGGATCCTCATTTTTAATTAAAAATTTTGTATACAATTTTAGACTTTACATGCCTAAATATTAAAAAAAAGGTCAAAGAATATATAATGTTATTTTTTACTGCAAGTAAGTAATTAGAAAGTACACTAACAATGATTGTTTCTGTCAACAGTACGTACCAGGAGCTGACCCTCGCGCGGCAGCAGTTGCAGGATGACTACGAGAAACTGAAGCGAGAGGAGGCCGACAAGTCGGCGAAACTCAAGGAACTTATGTTAGTGTCACGATCGCCCCGCCGTAATCTAGACAAGGCCGAGAAAGAGGTCGTCAATCAACAGATGCTAATGAAAGACGAAGGCGATCATTTCAAAGATTATATAATATCACCTAAGAAAGCCAAGCTAGAATACGAATACAATGTGGAAATCGATAAGATTGCGGCCAAAGAGGAAAAGTCGCTCTCGGCAATTTCCAAGACCCCTCCCACCCGTCACTCCTGTAACATCCACCCCCTGCAGCTACATTTACTTATATCTGTCACTATGATCCTCCTAACCCATCGCTATCCACAGATAGTGGTTTTAGTTTGAGCTATACAAGTATTGTGATATAATATGGATCTCCCTTCACTTTTTTGGACAATAGTTGTTTCAGTGCCTTTTGTATTTAATGGTTTTAGTGCATATGTCGTTTGGAATCCAAATATATTTGTTCAGGTGTGTTAAGGAGATCCATGACTCACGAATGTTGTATCCATTAACGCTTTCGTGGTCAGATGCAGTGAGTTTATGTTGTTTATTGAAACCAGTAAATCTTCTTAATATAACGATAAAAAACATGAACTGACTGTGTGCGTACGTAGTCGTTGTTGTTAATTGTTTAACAATTCTTTAATATTTTTTATGCCTTTTTAACGCTACTACGCTTCAGTTGGTTGACGTTAGTCCACAATGCATTTATACTAGTGAAAATTTTGAATAGTTCAATTATTTTAATATAAATTTTCTATTGCTTATAAGGAAAAAATACCTTCTATGTATCTGTTTGAACGTAGCATGTATCAGTATTGTGGTATGCATTTATGTATAAGCATGTTCCTCCCAAATGTATATGTAATATGTATACATGTAGTTATAGTTGTAAATATAGTAACAAATACCAAAGAAAGAAAAGAGATTATCGCGTTGTTGTTTAATTAAATAACGGGAGAGACGTACTTTACAGGATTTATTTTAGTTATTTAAAAAATTATAAAAATGGTGCATTGCAAGTTGTGTTTAATATTATAACACTGCCATATTACTTTATAATATGTTGAATAAATTACGCGGGTTAATAGGAAAAGTAATTTGTTCATTGTTAATTTAGTATGCAAACCTTAGATATAACATTACAATGTAGTATGTTATGCATTAGTTACAAATATCACAAATGACAATGACATGTTAAGCGCATGTTGTTCAAGCACTATAATCATAATCAACTAATATGAGAGAATGTGTACACGACTTTGCCGAATGGATCAAAACATTTAAATTAAATAAATGAACATCGGTATGTAAATATTCTTGTAAATATACTTCTATGTTTGTATAGAGAGTATGTCGATATTTTTACTTACCTATTTTTCTAAACAATTTAACGACCATGAGTTATTTACTTCTTGGCGATATTATCAGATCTGTTACTAGGCTGAACTTAAATTTTAACCGAATTGAGATAATACTTGTCATAAACACCAACCACAATCTAGGTTAGTCGGACAACGTTATAAAAATGAAAAATAAAACTTAGGAATCGTATGATAAGCGAAAATTTATACTATATTATGCACTCAATTTAGTATTAAAAAAAAAAAAAATGTTGCATTTATATGATGGGAACATTAATATTTATTTTCATTCCATTTTCTGCATTTATTCAAGTAAATATTTTATAATTTCGTTTTATAAAACACGTTCACCGCATGTTTATCAATTATCACTACTGCATCATATATACAATATCATGTTCAGTATTTTATAGCATTTATATGTGTATCGTTTCCTAGTGTCCATCTTCACTTCCTCTAGTCTGTGTGCACTCGAAATGCCGAAGAGTGATTGTTGCCTCGATCTAATCGAAACGCGTGCAAATGGTCAATTACGCCTGTTGCACTCTATTTGCACGTTGTTGTTTACCACTGTGACAGTGTCTTAGTTACAATTAAATCTAGAAACATTATTTCTTTGTCATAACGCTATAAAACATTATTTCTAGATAGAATTGTTATTGACACAAAGTTACATATTGAACAATAAAATGAATTTAACTGTAAACACGTAGTCGATGTAAGTATTAAGTAGACGTAGTGCGAGGTCTTGTAACGCCTTCTGCTTTTTAATTTTGAGTTATCATTTTATTCCGCACGTATCCCATTCATATTCATTCTGCCGAGGGTTGGCATTCTCTTAAACGATCGGCCTAAGAGTACAGAGCGTTGATGTATATGGATGGGTGCGTGCTGACAGATATGATAGCTCTGACACTCCGTTGCCAGGTAAAATACACAAGCTAAATTTGTTGTTGTCATTGGTATACAATCATTAGTAGTTTTATTAAAGTGCATTGTATTTTTCCGCAGTCAAAGCGTGGAGCGGCGTGAGCAGGCCCGCGCCGATCTCAAGGGTTTGGAGGACACCGTCGCCAAGGAGTTGCAAACCCTGCACAACTTACGGAAACTATTCGTGCAGGACTTACAGGTCAGGATCTTAACGTACAAAATGAATCGTAAATTTAAATTTCGATAATGTATGTGTTATAACACATTTAATGTGTATTCAAGAAGTCGCGTGTTACGCTCTGGCCGCTATGAAGATTATGTATCAATTTAAATTACTGATTAAATACATGATAATGATAACAACATGAATAAAATTTAATGACAGAAGGCTTATCACGTATCTCGTTAGATTTAAGTATGGTCGATAGTAACTATTATAATCACCATCTTGGTATCAGTCAACAATGACTCTGACTACCCTCATGGTATTACAGTTATACTCAACTGATGAAGAAAAAGAGCGTTATGTTTTCCAGATATATAATAATAGTTAACGCTTTTTTTCCGGATATTTTATGTAATATGTAGTCTTGATGGGTATTTTAATATGAACTGTCTCTACATTTAATTGTATTAGTATGGGCTACTAAACAGTTGAAAATTTATATTAAAGCCTGGTTTTAAGATTCTTTTTTATTTATTTTAATGCTTGTTTATATATGTATATAACTGCATGTATTTTCTGTTATTGACATGCCTCAGTAATATGAATTAATAAATGTTGTACGCCTCAAGAAGGTAGAATATGATCGAACTTTGATATTTATAATATCTTTTTGTCAATAAAGAGATTTTAATTTGATTTGACATTAAAATCCAGGCGAGGATAAAGAAGTCCACGAATTCGGAAGAAGGTGCCGAAGAGGAGGGCGGCTCGCTCGCGCAGAAACAGAAAATCTCATTCTTGGAGAACAATCTGGAACAGCTGACAAAGGTCCACAAGCAGCTAGTACGCGACAACGCGGATCTGCGCTGCGAACTGCCCAAGCTTGAAAAGCGTCTGCGAGCGACTATGGAGCGTGTCAAGGCACTCGAGACGGCGCTCAAGGTTATATTTTAATTCAATACTAGCTGTAACCCACAGTTAGATTTATGGTGATAGTTATAACGTAATTCGTAAAAACATTATAAATGCATAGAATATTGAGAATGTACTAGGCTGTATCTTCTGTATCTCGTGATACGCTCAACCTATTTTAGTAAAACAAATACCATTTATTATAGTAAATACCTCAATTTTTAATAAAAATTTTATCACTAAAATATAGAAGTGTATACAAGTAAATTACAAAAAAATCCTTCTATATTATAAAAAAATAATATTAAACTCTTTTTTTTTTTTACTTTTTCAGGAAGCTAAAGAGGGCGCTATGCGCGATCGTAAGAGGTATCAATTCGAGGTTGACAGGATCAAGGAGGCGGTTCGTGCCAAGAATCTTGCCCGAAGAGGACCGCAAGCACAAATCGGTGAGAAAAAAATTGTAGAGTTATTTGCACATCATGATGTAATGATAAAATGAATGTAGACACAATTATATAATACAATAATTTTCTCATTATTACATACCACTAAAGCCATGTCATCAATAATAAAATTTTAAATAAGGCTATCATGGTGTAGATTTCATAGGCTGAGCAAGAGTAGTAAACTGAGTAAAGTAATAATAATATTAAAATTATTTTCGCAGCGAAACCGATCCGTGCGGGCGGTGGACACATGGTGGGCGGTGGCGCGGGAGGCGTTGTGCGACCGGCGCCTGCGCAGGATATCAAGCGGAAGTCGATCATAGTCGGCGCGCGAGGTACGTCCAATGGATTTGAAGTATTTATATAAAATAACTAATAAAATAAGGATAGGGTTTTCAGTGACTCTATCTATTACTTTGTCACTTGGAAAATATGAATCCTTACCAGAAGGAGACTTTGTACAAAAGTCATTTGCTTGGGCACCTCTATCCTTTATCCTTTTCGTGTTATGTTTGCATGACTGTTTCGATTTGAAGGGTGGAATATGGCAGTTAATTTACAGGGTACAGAGAAATAACACCTGAGTCCTCAGTAATGGCAACGCATGCCGGGGGGGGGGGGGGGGGGGGGGGGGGGGGGGGGGGGGGGGGGGGGGGGGGGGGGGGGGGGGGGGGGGGGGGTCATGGGCGAAACAGTATACTAGTTACATAAAAAAATTATTTAGTTTTGTCTTCATTACTGCATATACTCAGTTTCCTTTCTATTGTTTCAGATGAGAGTTGAACTGTTAGCCGTTACGTCGTAGAGAATTTAAATGAAACTTCATAGATGTACCTAATATGGGCGGCGGAAATTCTTGAAAATATACCCATTATACTACGTGTTTATGAAAAGCCTAATAATAAACTGCATCAAAAAAAAAAAGAAAAATATCGTAGAATTCTCTAGGCTTAATCTTTCGAGCTATCTAATCTTAATGTCAATAAGTGCACATGGATTTAGAATTATAATAGCTTTTTGCAAATTATAAATAGGTCAGGTTTCATATAAATTCGATATCGGTTATCATTAGGTACCGGTGCAAAAAGTATTACGATATGAGCAGACCCGAAGCTTCGATGGTCTTTGATGTTGCTATTTTTATTATTAAATGAAATAAAAAAATATTTTTATTATATGACAAAAGTATTACGTTTAATTTCACGTCGTAAGTGGCTAATTTGTGATCACTATACCACGGGAGGAAATGCGACGAAACGGTATGTAGAAGTCGTTAAGTACAAAATATACCGAGCCAGTTACCAATATGTTGTCTGGAAACATGGAAATGTAGGCGGTCACATTTCTTTCTTGTTTGGTATAGAATGATAATAACTTCAAAGATGCAATATTTCATTATCTATAAGAATATGCTGTGAGTTATTTGCAGACTAGCATATGCTGCCGCACAAATAAATAAAAAATAAAAAAAAAATACCAAGGCCGTATTGTCCTATTCCGCGTGTGGTGGCAAATGCATACCAGTGTGCATCTTCAGTGTGTAGTTGTAGTTTAAGCTTCTTTAATATATATTTTTATATATTGTGATAAGCGTTGTTATGCCGATATGTGAGCATTTATTTATGTTAACGAACGACTTTTCGGTATATGTTCACAAGGTGTCATGGGTGATAACGAGGGGACTCAACGGTGATACACGTAAAGCTTCAGGTTTAGTCTAACACGGTCAGTTTGGTTGGTATGAGCGTGTGTGCCTGGGCGACTTGCTGCAACTAGCAAGTTCACTGCCACTAGGCACAGTCTGCGCCAGATGGATTCGCAATACAAATTAGTGGGCGATTTTTGTATTCTTATTTAGGAATATGAAAATCTCTTTCAACTAAATACATTTTTTGCTCTGGTAACTAAAAAAAAAAATACAAAATTACAGATACACGTTATTAAAACTAATTGCAAATAGAGTTCATATTAGAATAGGTTATCATTCATATCACCTTCCGCTTGGCTCCCATTCTATCGTCACCGTCACATTTGCTTGCGAGCTGTGATGATTTTTGTTTTCTAGCAAATGTATTGTCATATTTGTATTGCTGTCTCGGTGGTAACTTTAGTAACACTTGGTACATACATAAAGCTTTTGAAATGTATTCGCACGTGTAATACATCGACACTGTAGTCGTTTCGAAGAATATTAACACAACAAATGACCCATTGAAAATATTCAGTTTTGAATTTATTATAAATTATCTATTTGCTTTCAAAATACATCAGCTTCGTAGTAGATCTGTAACTTATGTAAGTACTTATGAATTAATCACTATGGGATATAGTCCAGAATGGGCTTGTTGCAATTAATTGAAGTACTGAAAAGTATGTTCATACACCGTTTCCAACTAGGAGTTATGGAACTATGGCTGAATAAATATTTAGAAAACCAAAGATAAATCACAATTGTTAGATTTATTATTCGAGATTAAAATATTTATCAACAAAAAGAAATAATTCCCGAATCATTCAACGGTTCCAAAACTCCTTTGTGTGTTGCAATACATTTATTATATCGTTTAGGTGTAAAGTTGTAGTAAATTATTTCACATTTAAGTTAGATACTTGATTTTATTATATTTTATTTATTGTATATCATAACTAAATTATCTCATTTTTCACTTAAGAAGTGTAATGCGCTTTTTTTTTACATACCTCTATTTACATTATTTTTAATCATGATCAAATGAATATATTTTTTCACTCAGAATTAGAGATGTTTACAAAGATGCATTCCACAAGGAAATAAAAGTGTGTCTTTGTGTATCTTTATGTTGTTTTGTTAAAATGTAGGTAAATATGAGGCTATCCTCGGTTTCCACTCGCCTGTTGCATATATAGCTCAAACCGGAAGTCTGCGCTGCGACTCTTACTCGGTAGTCGAGTGAACCCCAAACCGGCAGGCTTGCCTTTGCACCAAGTGATTTAGTTTGTATTGACATCTTTTGTATGATGTATTTAATATATGGAAAATCCTCAAAAAGAGTGTTTTCTTCATTTTTATTTATTATAAAAATAAAATTATGAATTTAATTTGCTAGTGGGTCTTTTTATTTTACTTATAACCCTTACGTATAAATTAGTAACACAAGAGAAAATAATGAATATCATTGGACTGACAAGCAAGCACTGGTGTCTTGTTTATTGTTAAATGCGATTATTGTCTTTAATTGTTATTTAACAAAATAGTCTTTCATGTAATATTTACTTTGGCTGAGTAGTTTAGTAATGAAGAAATATGAAATTTTATTTAGCCAGTAGATATGTTTTCGTTACCATAGTTTTTATTAAAGAACGACGCAAAGCGGCGTTGCTATTAAACTCTAGCTAACATATGCTACTATGACAATGAAACGAAAGAACAATCTAATAAAAAAGGGTTTTTAAAAATTATCACACGGATAACTAAATAGCATTGGTAAAACTGCAGAAAATAGCTCTAATCTCTTATCTATCATATGAATATCCTATATCACAATATTCACAAAGGTTTATTAATTAATAAGCCTTATGTATACAATGTGCGTTTTGCAATTCCCACCAGTTTTTTTATACCACAAGTGGCAAACGAGCATACGGCCCACCTGATGGTTGCCATAGCCTATAAACGCCTGCAATACCAGACAGTTACAGCGTTACCGACCCTGAACGAACCTCTATTCCTTTTTTGAAGAACTCCATTCTGTAGTACTAATCTCTTGGAAAAACTTCGACAGAGAGAACTCTTTCCATAACCTGAGTGTTTGTGGAAAGGAACATCTCTAAAACCGCGCTGTACGCGACAGTGTGACCATTTGTGGCAGATTCCTGTCATTTTTACTTTTATTATAAAAGATGTCTATTGAAAATTCAAATCGGGTAAGTAATATAAATTTTCTTGAAATCCTTTAAATCTACCACTTTTGTAAATCATCAGCATAATCCGCCACACAAAATTTAGGAGTGAAATTTGACAAAATAGCAGCAATTTGCCGCAAATGGTCACGCTGGTACGCGACCATCTAGGATCTAAGGTATAGAGGTGAACTTCCCGTATATATAACTACTTAAAACTAATAGACAGTTCAGGGTACTTTAGTTAAAACCACTACCGTAACGGGAGAATAATAGATTAGTGCAAGAGATAAAATATAGGTATTATATGCTTTGAATAATCTAAAATCAATAGATAGATTTCGAGTGGTGACCACGTACAAACGCAATTTAGGACGACTTGAGCGATCTTCCTACTACATACAAATGATGACGTCAAATGTGTTGCAGGGAGTCGGTGAATACAGTGGTACTAATATACTAGTGTTTTGAGATACGAGCCGCCGAGCAACCGATATTTTGCTTTGAGATGAGAGCAAGGTTTGAGATATGAGGAATCGCACACTACACCGCTGCGCACGACCCCAACATGCGAGGTGGATGTTGGTGTCTAACAGTTTCTTCCACTTCAGACTAACACTAAACAAAAACAACGTACGTGGTTTTTTTAGGTATACGGATTAATGGCATTTCAATTAAATTCAATGGGGAAAATTACTTTGAGATACAAGCATGGTTACGGAACGAATTAAGGGTACCACTGTACAGGTATTTCAGGCCCATTCCTAATGGCAATCTATGAGATTAATCTAATGTTCAATGATAGGAAAACTAACAGTGAAACCGATAATACCTTATAAGCAATCATTGGGTGTTATAAGAATATCATTAATGCGCATATACAGTACACCTCCCAAAATTTACTTGCAGGAAACAATCTTAAATTAATTTCGTAAAAAAATACACAAGAGATAATTATATGTTTCATAATTATTTATTTTTGGTATATTATTAGTATTTTCAATAAAATTAAATATCTAAATTAACGACATTTACATAGTTACATAAACAACTTACACATTTTGGTAATGACGGGCATAGTCCGTAAGGTCTGTAAATTTAACACTGACCAAGCAGAGTCGACTTTGCATATGGTTTCTAAGTATAGGTATGTCTTTTACCAGACAGTTAGTATTAGGCGATGCCAAATTATCGCTTATAAATTACTAGCTATATCCTATAAAAAGTATCCTAAATGCTAATCTAGGGTTTGGTTTATCTGTGTATCAAATTTCATCCTAACTTTTGGATTTACTCTTGAAATAAATTCCAATAGATCGATATTGGAATTAAAACATTTCACACTCTCGAATTACAATACAATACGATATAATGGTTCCATACTGTTCTGATAAATGCATATTAGTGTAACTTGCCAATGGAAACTATTGCAAATCAATTCCAATTTTAAATTAATTGGTAGTTGTTATTTCATCAGTGCAGTATAAAATTTATCATTGACATTGGATTGATATCGATATTGTATTTAAGAGTAGGCCTGCTGTAAGCGTGTTTAAGTAACAAACATTTTTACAATTACATAAGTTATACACATTTTGCAAAAAGAAATGAAATTCAAAGCCGCTCAAATAGATTTGTTCAAACTGAATCTAATGATTCTTTTACACAAATTGCGCTCAAACAATGCGGCTTTGTGCGTAATCGACTCTGCTCGGACAGTACTAATTATCTAATTATTAATTATCTGGTATATACTCTTTACAATCCATTTTATTCATGTAGAAGGCCATCTTGATATGACAATCAGTTTTATATTAAAGAGCGTTATATAGGTAGTTTTGCATTCGAATAGTAAATGAAACAGACAGTATTGTTTTCCATAGATTAAGAATATTCTCAATTTTTTTTTCAGCACCAAATTAAGGGAATGTTCTTCTGTCCTTTCTGTTTAAATATTTTTTTAAAAATTAATCTTTTATTTTGATTTTTTAATTTAAATAGAGAACTAGTTGTTTGAATGTACTATAAAAATTATTCACATCTATCATCTTTAATTAAAGTGACTAATAGATATGTATAGGAACATATGCCATAAAATTTGTTCCTGCTCTAACATTGGTGAAACAATATATTTCTATGTTTACAGAGAGTAGACAATAAACTACATAGAAAAATGGACCCACAAATGTACCCGCGTGTTATTATCTATGGCCTCATATCCATTTATGGGCGTCAATATAATCTCTCAAATTGTATATAAAGCGGTTCAACAGGAGCTATGAAAATTAATGGTCATACAGACTGACGACAAAGTCTCTCGCTCTCATGCTGCCACGTTTTCGTGCGACTCCGAGAGGCGCGATTTATTTTGTTGTACCAATTGCAATTTCTAAAGTAGCTAAAGCAATTTTTTAAACGATAACAAATTGGTTTTAATGACTTCAATCCATTAATCTGTGCTAACTCTAAACAAAAAGGCCATCGCGGCCCGACCACTACTCCCCCTCCCCTGCCGCTCCTATGAAACATGATATCCTCGATGGTTTAAATCGATTTTTTGTTGATTTAAAAGACTTCCCAAGCTTTCATTAATCATTACTAATTTGGATAGTAACAAGTAGTTATTTTATAATTTATAAAATAACAACCTTGCAATTCTTAGCAAGAGAGCCTTGAACAATAATAATTTATAATTGTATTTATTGCACTAGTGTTTTATTTTCAATAATTTATCATTATTTTTATAATCTGTTCTCCTAAACTTGGCATATTTAATAATCCAATACATACAATCTAGTATAAAAAATTTTGGTTGGTAATTTATATAATACGTAATGTTATTTTTGTCTGTATTAATTTTATTACTTATTTCGAGAAGGGGCCCGTCAAATTGGTTTATTAAATATGGCAAGTACAAAAAGCAGATTATATAGTTACAATATTTATGTCACTATTGTGTATTATGCGCAATTCAAATAATAATAATTTTCAACTAAACTCATATCACAGTCTATTATGTATACAAAATAATGAAGCAATAAATAAAATTAAAATACATTCATGTGAATAATAACATCAACTTATAGCCTAGATAACAAAATTACAAATATTAGTTTTACATACAAAGACATTATGTATTATATATCTTTTGTACAGATCTATCCTTTAAGAAAACTGTACAATATAATAGTACTGTACAATATTAATTAGTGATTTAAGGAATATGTAAACATAAATCATGTACTTAAATGATTTGTATTTTACAAATTAATCTTTATAAATATAATTTCATTATGATTTGATGATATTTAACTTGATCGAGATGCCTTATCTATAATATATTAATACTATTACTTAATATATAACCACAGCTGATTTAATTTGTAATAATTTATCATATTGCAAAGTTTAAAATTAATTTATAATTGATGTTACAAAAACATGACATTAGATCTGCAAGCCGACAGATGTAAAATAAAAAAAGAAACAATTTCATTACACTGAATATCGAGCGACCACTGTTTTGTATACAACGCGGACATTAAAAAAGGGATCAAAGATTTTGTTCCGCAAAGGAACAGACTACAATCTTACCAAAATCAACCATTTTAGACGAATCTATCGACAGAATGATTTTATCGATAGAGTCCGAGCTAAAGAATAAAACGACAACATACAGTGTTTTACAACAAGTAGGATATTTATGATATTTTTCTAGGGAGAGCCTGGCAAGCCAAGGGTGCCACCTGCGCCCCCCGCGCACCTTCAAATACGTTTATGTTTACGTTAAGGCGCTGTCAAAATTTAACCCTGTGCAATCCGTTGGTGCCGTATTAGCGACATTAAAATGCTAAATAAAATTAGATTGTTTTACTGACTCGGCGCCCTTTATAAAATAGCTAAGAAATAAATGTTTAGTTTTATTGCAACGACTCCATTTTTCTTTTACATCACTGGTATGTACTTATAACTAATATAGTGCTGGAGTTATTGGTATTCTCTATGAGTTACTAGGTTGGAGTGCAAAGCGTTAAACTTTTAAAACTATCCGCTGGATGCGCAACCAAGTTTTCAATATAAATTTTCTACATAAACACAGTCATAACATAAACGTTTGCATTACTCTTGTTAATCAATCAAAAGACTTTTTATAACATATGCAAAGCAACGTGTCGAACTCAACGAGCATCATAACAGTGGCCGTCATAGGCGGAAGCGAAGTGAAACATCATGTTATTATTACATTAAATATACATTTCGTAAAAAAATACTTCACATTTAAATATTGAATGAATAGGTACTTTAACTTCCAATAAAAATACATAATTTTATACATTAACCGAAATTATGTCTTCCTTGAATTATAAGCTGCATTTTATTTGATAACTTACATATCTCAAAATGGTAATAATGACAGTTTGGAACTATACGGTGCTGTATTAGACCAGTAGTATTTAAATATTTATGTATATTTTAAGCCCTTATTTATAAAATCCTCATACGTTACAAATATACTTCTAAGTATAGATTCTATTGTCTTTTTCTTTTGGGGTAAATTCTTAATATATAAGAAAAACTTTTTTACTATTTAGTATTTTGTTTTAATTAGGATTTTTTTTTATGAATAAGGCGGTTAATGATAAAGGTTGAACGTGATCAGCTTCGATCTTACAGTTGAATTATTGTGACAATATATTAGTCCCCTACATTTTATCACATTACATCACAAAACAAGGCTTAGAAAGGGCCTGTGGAATCAAGTTTACAGCCATATTTGCACTGGTACATATAGGATCACTGAACATTAAAAATTCTAAATTTGACTTTACATAACTTACCAGTAGGTCCATATTGTATAATTCCATTCACGTAATATTTATAATTTGATTTCATATCTATAACTTTGCAGTAGATACATTAAACAAAAATTTTATTCATGTAATAATTATAGGCTTATTTAAGGGTGGGGCCAGGTGAGCTGTGCCTGCACCAAAGTGCACAAAGACATGTTTGGAAGTACATATGTATATTCACCATTTTAAGGGGTCAGGCCCACCCTGAAAAATATTCTTAACTACCCCAATGGTAATAGCATTAGAACACTTCAAATGTGGTTATCATACTCCATCGTAGGTTGATACGGATTCACTAGATTGCTGACGATTGAGTGTGTGATTGAATCCATTCTCTTTCGTAGTCGAAGAAGTGCTGGAACCAATTATTTTATTATCAATATAGTGAAAATACATATACAAAACAAAGTAATTGTGTAATGTTTCACATAGTAATTCTAATTCTTTTGATTTTATTCTTTATTATATATATATATATATATATATATATATATATATATATATATATATATATATATATAAGTATTTTGTTACTCTTTCAAATTAAGAATTTAGTACAAAAAAAAGGACAAAATACTTCAATAGTTAAAATATTTAACGTTTTAATGAATAAAAGAATAGAAGAAGAAGAAGAGAAAGAGCTCTAACATATTATATTATTAAGATTTCTCTTTTAGATAACCTAATAATTGATATTTTTATTTAACAAGTAATCATACCCGAAGAAGGGTAGTAAAGTGACGAGGTTGGCGCGCGTTGTGCACTGACGTAACTCGGGCAGCACCAACACTATGTGTCGCAGGTACGCCTGTAACTCAATGCGCCGTTGCTCCACTACCCGGGAATCCTAATCAGAAAAGAAAAAAAAACAACACAATAATTACATAAATAATAAAAAAATATATTATTTTTATTTTTAAAGCTTATGTTCATCTTTATTCAATGTTTTTATGTTATTATAATAAATACGGGAGATTAATGAAGTGACTGTTGTTTTTTTGTCATTTCCGACAATTGTTTCGACTTCATCCGGAAGTCTTCTTTAAGAGGCATTTATCACTTTGCGTTACAGCGTCTCGCCACGTACTTTGGGCCGCAGTAAAAAACACAGTGAGTCTATTAATCCCAATTATTTATATAGATATTGAATAAAAAAAAAAACGTGTTCGTCAATATGAGATTCTAAATGCCTTAATATATGTATAATTATATTATATTATTTTTACTAGCAAACGCATTCGTGTTGCAAATGTTCATGGAAGACGGTAGCCTTTTCCACCAGGTGGACTGTGGGCTTGTTTGTCTTCATACAATTTATAACAGTAGTTTTCTCTCATTACTGTTACATGTCCGATCATAACATTGTAATGACATTTTAGATATATAGATTACTAGTTGATCCAATAAGAGGCAAATGTTATTTTGCTCCCTACCAGATCCATTATATAGAAATTCACTTATTAGAGCAAGTCACACACATTTGAAAAATTACATTAAAATTAAAGTTCAGAGATTAAAGTGAAAAGAACATTATGACATGAGACATTTATGTCTATTATTTTAAAGGGTCCTTCAAAGTTACTATAATAGTTGATTATTCACCATTAACAATATTAATTTCCAGTTCAATAGAAAAAAAATATTATGTCGAATACAGAGACATTAATGCCGCATATTTCTCCTTACTCTCTCTCTCTCGATATTTCTCTATTAATGTTTAATTTTATAAAATCTCAATTCTCGGGAAATTATTTAATACTCACTCGTTTTCGTAGAGTTTTCTTTGGCGGAAATTTGTAGGTTGCGATATCAGGATGGCATTTTTTTAATTGCGTATGCAGTTCATGAAATTTCGCGTATCTGTGATATACATTCCACTCTTCTTGACCGATCTTAAGAAAAATCTAAAATAAAAGGTTTGACATGAATAATAATGTATTATTTATGTATTAAAATATGTATCTCAGTATTTGATGGATATACATAAAATACAACTGTAGACGTCGTCAAGGGATGTTAAAAGTGAAATAGAACACATAATTTTTTCAAATTTTTTGTTTCTCTGTTTGTTTGTATGTTTGTCTGTTTGTACGAGCTAATCTCCAAAACTGTTGGACCGATTGAAATTAAATATTGTATGGTGATACCTTACATCCTCGGTTAACATTTTAGATATTTTTAGTCACAGAAAATTAAAGAGTTCCCGTGGGATAGTTAAAAAACTATAGTAACTTATACAGCTTAGTACACAACCTACTTGAGTAAAGTCATTATGATCTAAGATAAAGAGTGAGAAGAGCACGTCATTTGTTAATTTTGGTCCGGTATTCCCCAGAGAAAATAAATAGGCACATACATCGATATATACTAAACAGTAATAACAAACACCACGCGAATAAAGTCGCGGGCATCAGCTGGTCATACATATAAATTGATATAAAAAGAATTATTGACCAGTTTGCTGTCTAAAATCTGTCATTAAGACACAACACTTTCAACATGCATATTTATTTAACCCTTAAATACCTGAAGATTCAAATTTGATACCGGGGTTTAAATCGCATTGGGCATCTACAATAGATTTTGTTTTAATATTTGGCTGTTTACATGTTACCAAATGTTTTTTTCAAAATAAATATATAAAAATATTGTTTTGATTTTTTTAACTATTTTTCCCCATTAGTAAACACAGTAAAGGGTACACTTATATATTTTTTAATTTGATTTAAAAAAATAGGCTTTATCCTTAAAGGGTAAAAAAAAAATAAAGTTCTCAAACGTCAAATCTCAATAGAAAAATAAAACGAAAGAACTCAATTGCGGAAAACTGTTACCTGATATACATGGTAGGAATGAGTCTTCTTTCCAACAAGGAATGCACTGGGGATGTGCGCCTTCACATTAGATTCTGGGTAGTCTAATATTTCACAAGAGGTACTCTCCAGTTCCTGTACCCTTCGTTGAAGATGTTGATTAAATTCCATGAGTTCAGCGTGCATTTCTGCAACCTGTGACAATATAACAGTAATAATAATGAAAAAGTAGCTTACTAATTTATTTGTTAGACAAGAGAGAGCAACATATTACTATTTATTTCTAATACAAAAGTAAAAATATTTTTACATATAAACTCATTTACTGTTTGTAATTATAATAATACGTTCCCAACGTACAATGTGACAGAATTTCTGTAACTTTAGGTCTTGTTGTGAAAATATACAATCTGTTATTGCTATTTTATTACAGCTTGATGAAAAATAGAGTTGTCTGCAGAGAACATTTATTGACAATTTTTTTTTAATAGATGATAATGGAATAATAACCCCGCCTGCGCTAATGGTATACGCTGATGAGAAACCAGTGAGAAATGATAGGTAAGAATTAAAAGCGGTCCATCGTGACGAATACATCTAAAATTCAGTACGATGGTTTCCAGGGAGGGCCATGTAGAGTTCAACCTGACAGGATATATTGCTAGCTAGCAAAGGGATTAGTAGTCCGCATTACTAACAACCCTCCTCCCCATTGTGTGGGCCATAGACTTGGATGTACTTGTGTGTACAATGCAATATATTTTTTGTGAATTTTCCTAGATAAAAACTATTTGAAAAACAATGTAGTAACAAATATCGAAAAAAGAATGTTGCATTGATTTGATCATTTAGATTTTTTTTTATACAACTTAGAATGGCAAACAAGCTGACGGCCCACCTGATGGAAAGTGGTAACTGTCGCCTATAGACATGAGCAGTACCATGGACATAACAGAGTATACTGTTTCGCCCATGATACCCCTCATGCGTTGCCATTCCTGAGGATTCAGGTGTTATTCCTCTGTACCCAGTAAATTCACGCCATATCCCACCCCTCAAACCGAAACACAGCCATGCAAACACAACTACTTCACGGTTGAAACACGAATGGGACAGATGTACCCAAGCAATCGACTTTTGTACAAAGTCTCCCTCTGGTAAAATAAATCAAATAAAATAAATTAGATAAATCAGATAAAAGAAATATCACACACAAATGAATTGAATGTCGTTAGGGTCCGTCTAAGACGGACGCATGTCAATCAAAAAAAGGCGAGGTGCTGAAGAAGAGCCAAATTAAAAGTACTCGTAACCGGAGAGTGTATATAAAAAGCTAGATGAATGTGGTGAAAGCGAAAGAGGTCTGTTTGAATCTAAGTTTTTAGTGTTCTACTGCTTCGGCCTACGCCAATGGTATGATATGTACATATATAAAAGAAAACTACATACCTGGACCAATTTTCTTTCATATTGACTCACTTCTTCGTTTTCATTATCACCAGATTTTAAAGCTAAGCCAAGTTCCACAGCTGACATGTAATGTCTCAGTTGATCTTTTAACCTGTCATTTTCTCTGCAAAAAAAAAAACCATCGAAAACAATAAGTACTGGCAATTTGCAGCAACATAGAATTTTCTGTAAAAGAACATTACTTACTTGCTCAAGTCCAAAATTACTTTTTCTAGTTTGTTAATTTTTTCTTTACTAGATATCTCTATTTGACTACATCTCAGTTGCATATTCAAATATTCTTTTTCTTTTCGTTCCAATATGGAATTTAGAATTTTATCATCAGGTACACTTTCGTCCTCTGTGAAACAAAGCTCTAAACATGAAGTGCTACCATTAATGCTGCCTGCCACCTCTTCGCTATCACTTTCGGATATTTTCAAATTATTAATACTCAACTCAGACAAATCGTCTTTAATCACATTATTTGTATCAATACTGTTGGAGGATGTGAATATCTCTTTAGCACATTCTGACAATTTAGAAAGTATCTGTGATGGACTCTCGATATTTTTTACACTATCTGGAAAGAAATGCCTTATACTGCTTTTGTATTCTGAACTGGTAGGTTCACTGCTGGAAGTTATTTGTGTTAACACTTTGGGGTCTGGTGAATTTAAACAAGTGGCTGGAGCACTATTCCAAGTTGAGTTAAATTGAGGCGCTGTCGATTCTTGTGGTTCTTGGATTTCCTTTAAATTATCTCTTTGTTCATTTTTATCGAAAGATATTACTTGTCGTAATGGTTTCCTTTTTAAATTACTCGATTTAACAGGCGTCGGCAACGGTATAACAAGTTCTGCTTTTGTTTGGTTCGCTTGCTGTGTGTCATTTAATTCGGCTTTGTCTATGGACAACGCGAACAAAACTGACGACAAACCTATTAACAAAAGTATTCATTAAACTACAGTGAAATTCTTATAGGTACTTTTTAAGTGTAATTAAATATTTTATTTATTTAATTTTTATTAGTAAGTGCCACACAAAATAAGTTTCTGGCTTTTGTATCTATCCTATGTAAAAAATAACTAGACATTTTTTTTTAAAGAAAATAAGTTATGGTCCAAGATTATATATAATCTTTTACACAGCCCTAGACTTACAAATAAGCTGCTTTTTTTACCTACATATTTTTACAAGATTTTATTTAGCATGCCTTAGTATCCAAGTCCGTTCAAAATTTGTAATCTATTTTTAACCACTTGGCAGCGTCCGATTATGTGGAAATTTGGCATATTTATGTAAATTTGGTAATATCATGGTAGTATTAAGCTGATTTGATGATGAAAACGGAAGGTTATATGATTAATCGGAACTTATACACTCCGCATAATAAATCCATTGTGTTAGGGCTCATTAGATTTGTCTTGGCAAAAACTGCCTGTGCCCTGTGTCCTGTTCAGATTCTAATGACGAACTAGAAAAGCTACAAAAGCTTGTTTTTTTTTAATATTTGTTACTTTGATACTTTCTCTTTCATACCACTTTTACTTCTTTTTAACTACATATTGATGTGGACCTATGAAGTAAATAATGGAAATTACCAGCTGCAATATTAGGGAGAAGACTTGAGGACTCTGGATCTCTAACCAATGCCCCATCTTCATAATATTCCATTACAAGCCCATGAGATATCCAGCTCTGAAGGTATCTGTTAACATAAAAAAAAGTATGATTTGATATATATGTGGTCCAAGGCATATTGCTTACTACTTACATTATTTAATTTTCTAAAGCAGCAAACAAATGCTATTATATAAATATATAAATTTATACTATATAAATTTTAAATAAAAATGTCTAGATTGTACAGATTTATCAGGCATTATCAGAATATAAATTATTATACGCGTATGAATTATGATAAACAGTACCCTATGTCATAATCCAGTATATGGTATATTGTTGTACCAAACATTCAAATACAGTTCAGACTTTAAAGCAGGATTGAGTAACATTCAAATATTTTTAGACAATTACACATTTATAAAACTTTAAAAACAAACTCAATAATGATACTTTACCTGTTTAATGATCTCTCATTTAAAGAAGCTCGAAGAAATGCTCTAAAGTATCCGAGTGGAGTGTTAATATTGTTAAGGATTTTAAATCTTTCTTTTTCATGTTTTGTGAGATGGAGACATGTATAACTCCATAATGAATTCCCTTAAAAGAAATACTTATATTTTAATAAAATTACAAAATAAACATAAAACAAAAATAAAAACTTATTAAAGTTTATAGTAATGTTTGATCTTGTTTTATCATACTTATTGATTAGTAATAGAAAGATAGATCTCTTTCTGTTTACTCCAAAAAATTACAATAGCAAAATTATTAATTTATTGTATCAATCCCAAAACAATTAAAAGAAATTATCACAGGGAAAAACAAATGAACAGTCTTATTGTTAAGGGTAATCTCTTCCAGGTAACCTTAGGATGGAAAGGAATAACTGATCAAAGGTAAACAGTTTGACTAAAAGCATAATAAAAATTCTGCCATTTAATCATGTAATAGTGATGCAGTTTTCCTATTGATGAGTAACTATTGTTTTTCATAAAAATAAAGAACATACATATAAAATATAAATAATTTCATTGTTTTCTTATAAATAATGATATTCTTACCAATATTAACAATATTGAAAGTGAAATTCAATCCAGCTGTGACTAAATTATGAAGGGCAGAGTTTGATAAGTTTGTTCTTATACCATGGCTAAGCACTTTTTCCCATTTATCACACAGAAGTGATATCCTGTAAAAATCAATTAAAGAAAAATGAGCTACAGATTATATATTTCTAGTAGTCAAAGTAGCATAGATTTTAATGTTACCTGTAGTCAAAAACAATTTGATATATCAGATGAGCACCACTGGGCATAACTGATTAAATAAACTTATATTTTTTTTGACAAAATTATAAATAAGTTTCGATATTTTTATAGTTCAAATTAATTATTGTTTATGAATTCATCATCATCATCATATCAGCCTTTACCTGTCCATTAGTGGACAAGTCTTCCCCTGAGGGGGGGGGGGGGGGGGGAGAAGGCAACCACAGTTAGGCTTTGAAGATTATTAATTATTAAGAGGTATGCTGCTGCCCGTTCCTTACCCTCTTTTAACCACTTCTTACAATACTCATGGAAAAGGAAGGGGTGGCCTATTCTATGCCAGGACCACACAATGTTATGAATTAATTCTACCTTATATCATCTTCAGTAGCAAGTTCTGATTTTCCTCCAAAGCGACTTTGAGCATTTTGCACACAATTCAACAATTCTTGAAGACACTGTTTTCCATTTTCATGTCTTTTCTTTACATCTTCTTTGTTATCAATAGCATTAGCTATGGTATTCAATATTTTACTATTCTAAAATTGAAGAACAATATAGATTACAAAAAATGAATAAGAAAAACATGTATTTAATTACCTACAGTGCTGTTAATCAGTGATGATTACCACTTTCCATTAGATGGACAGGTAGCTTGTATGTTATTCAAATTAATAGATAAAGGAATTTAATTAATTTGAGTAGTCTAATTACCAGCCCAACATCTTATATGTTATATTTATCTACCAGTTTTAATAATTTAGGAGATCTTTCATAGATTGACACAAGTGTCCTTGTTGATGTGAACATTTTAACTGTCCTGTATAAAGCAACGGCTGTGATGTGGTTAGCCATATTCAGTAAGTCGTGCTCCCTAAAATATGCAGGCAAGTGACGACATAAGTAGCTACATTATTGAGCTTCCTATAATACAGTTAATTCAATGACAGCTGACATGTTTATCATACCTATGAACAAATTAAACTTGTATGAACTAATCTGCCAACTGTAATTTTTATAGATGTTTAATATTACTTGTTTGTTACAAATTTTATAATTTTATTTTTTTTTTGCTCACCTATTCTTCAGAATAGTAATTGATTTCAAGTTTTGCACCAATATTATAATGTCCAAAATTACTTAAAATTAACCATAATCTATATTAAAGGTTTCGATCCTAATTTTATACCGATATATACATTCTAAAGTTGCATGCACCCACCCACCAAAACTTAATATCTAAAAATTTTAAATACATTGATACAGCTAAGCTATAAACGAAATTATATTACCATTTATTAGGCAACATACATACCATTGTTATTTGTTTATTGTGCAACCAACTCATTAGTATTTTATGGATATTATTACAGCATTATAATTGTACTATCCAAATGAGGTACACAGTTCAGAAATATTTTGTTAGAGGTGAAATTTTGTAAACTTTGTGAATAACATATCTGTGTTGAAAAGACAATGCATATAACTTTATTATACAATTTTTTTTTTTAAATCCAACAAATTATAAACAATAGTAATGAATTAAAAGGCAATAGAAAATCACAAAACATTGAGATAGGTAAATGTAAATAGTATTTATCACAGTTACAGAACTAGTGATGCGAATATTCACTACTAATCTTTGACTGAGAATGAATACCACAGATTACAGAGACTATGTGTAGTTGTCTAATGAATCTGAATTAATAGATATATCCGAAAATAATTTAACTACTAATATTATAGTGATTCTACCTAAGGATTCTACTAATCGCTAAATTATTCATTAGTTATTTATTCATATACAATGTAAATTATGTTTCACGTAAAATTTCAAGTGTACTTTCTAATATAAATAATTTATGAAAACTATATTAACGTATAAGTGCAAATCAGTATTTTATTTCATAATGTAGGCATTAACTACGCCTGCGATTCATTCTCTAATAATTAATTTAAATAACATTCATTTAATATTCTTATTGACACAATTTTTTTTTTTACATTCTAATGATATATTTATATTAGTAAATCTTTACAATCGATTCATTAATTGTTTTGATACAATCGATTAATACATACAATTAATTCATTCTTTTCAGTAGATTTATCGATACAATTGATTTGTTTGATAAACATAATGGATTTATTTGTTACAGCCAATTCATTTGATACAAACTCATGCTCATATGATACAATCAATTCATTTAATACAACTGCTTTACTTGATATAATAATTTCATTCGATACGGCCGACTCACTTAAAGCAAGTATGTCAATATATCCAATGCTGCTATTTTAGCTGCTATATATTTTTTATAGAAAAACATGAATTTATTACAAAGGTACATATATAGTTACTTTGTTGTATTAATTAAATAGTTATAGGTATTTAAAACAAATGTTATTATTTCCATTATTATTCATTTAAATCAAATTAGTAATAGTATTTGAATACATAAAGTAGTACATTAGTAATTTAGCAGTTGATTTATTAAAATAGTAATTACTAATTATTCAAATATTTAAATTATTCGTATTCGCGCACCGTTATACAGAAAGAGCTCAAGTAATCAATATACCACATTGTAAGAATTGGCAGTCACATACAATTCATTTTCCACGAAATCTGGAACATGAAATGCTACCTTTTCGAATTTACAACACAATGAAATAATATTCATAGTGTTATCTGACTATTTGTATATGGCTCCATCAAAAAAATCCATATCAGCTGTTGTTGTAAAAGATCTAGCTATTTCATAAAACTTCGGCAGTAAAACAAGTACTCTTGTTTACTTTATTTTCTTCTATTTCTATTTTAAATATAATTTTTTTGATAGGTGAGTAATACAAATTTTCTTTGCTCTGGTTTGTTGCCGTCCTGAATGAATATCTCTCAGGTATATGGTTTATAAAATTATAATATTTTTTACTAACGTAATTTAAAGTGTAGGTACTATCAACGAAATCAATCTTGTTGTCTGGTATTAAATGAATTTAAATTTAAACATATACATATGCTAGACATAGCGCTATTTGTAGATATTACATTATGTATATATGTAACTATAATATAAATAAAATATTGTTTTAATAATAACAGGAAACCGTGTACTATAAATGTAATTAATTAACTATTTATACATAATTTTATATTTTGATAATGCAACACCACCTATATTTTGAACCTATATTTGAGATGTGAACTAAAACATCTACAAAAAGTGTAATAAAAGTAACATATATGGGTTTTGGTTAATTTTACAAGTTTGTCAAAATTGGTAATATAACCTAAAAAATCAACTTTACTATTATATTAACAAGTAATTTAATTATTTAGATAATACATGCAAACTTATTATTTTGTATAAATTGATATATTTATTATTTATATTTTGTATATTTTTTTTATATTTTATTTTAACATTATTATAATACTTTTGTTCTGCTACAAGCGACCGTTTTATTATTTCATAAAAGAATTTCAATTCAAAAATAAATTTAGTTTTTTAACAAACGAGTAATGCAAATTCTCTTTGGTTAATTAAACAATAATTGGAAGCTTTGTGTTGAATTAAACAGCATCAGAAAATAAAACACGTGTTCATATTCAAAGAATATATGAATATATGTAAATAAGAAAAATAGCCCTAATTACAATATTATTACTATCACATATAACTATAATATAGTTTGAATTATTTTTATTTTAAAAGGTGACTTTTGGACAGGATATTCCATTCTAGAAATAAAATTAATAAGTCTTAATTAATTTAGGTACTATTATATTCGTAATTCATAATGATAAGTAATTACTTATAATTTATTTTCATTTCATATCGATATAGGAAGCATGATATGAACACAGTTTCTTAATATTAGTTGGAGACGGTAATGTAGTTTCATATGAACACGTCATATTATGTTGTCAGTTGGCGGTTAGTCGTCGCTGTGCTGTAATGTCCGAGGATGGTTATAACCAAATATTTTGGGCTATAACCGATAGCTGGTTACACCGATGACAGATAGTACAGTCGCGAATATTTTTCGTATTATTGCTGTAAAGCTAGTTATCGATATAGCTACACTAGCGATGCGCGAATCCGAATGATATTATTATTCAAATAATTTGTAATTACTAATTTTACAATTTGACTTCAAAATTAGTAATATACTAATTTTCGTATTCGATAAAAAAATTATTCTCTTATCCATTAAAAAATTAAAACATTCTAATAATTAGGTTGACTCGGTTATGTTTGTGTCGACTCGTACATCAATGACTACTAATGAAAGATATTAGTAGTCGAATAATATTAGTCGTTATTAGTATTCGGCTAACATTAGTAGTCGGATTAATAAAATTAGTAGTTTAATGACTTCCATATTAATCGAATTAATACGAATAATTTTCTCAGTTGATAAATTAGTAATTGCGCATCGCTAAGCTACATCCCTAGGTGGCAGTAAAACAAAATGGCGTATTATATTGTAGTTCGCTGTGCGTGCAGTGTATTGTGAATTTAGTCCTTCCTGTTTAATTTAAACATTCATGACCATTGTGTTAAATTGTTTTCTAGTTATTTTTATTTTAGTTTTGATCTTGTACTTCAACGTACGTAAATATAATCATGAGTAATTACGACGATGATCAAAGTGAGGATGGAGAATTAGCACGCAGCCCTGTCCAGGACGAAATGGATTTCAGGTAAGTACATTTAATACTTTATGCAAAAATATTTGCTTTATTTCTGTTGTTCTTTCTGTATTAATATAATCATTATTGTTTTACTTATCCAGACTTTTGTTTTTTGAATGAATCATCATGAACGATTTCATTTTCCGTATCTATTTTATTGAACTGAAAAGCATGGTAATTTTGGGTAATACGTATTTAATTACACCAAATCGATGGTTTTATCATTTTATTTGTTCTAATATCTCTTTATCATCATCATCGCAACCTTTTTTTTGTGGATGATAATGGAATGGTAACCCCACCTGCGTTAACGGTATACTCTGGCGGGGCACCAGTTAGGGGTGATAGGTTAGGATAAAAATTAATACGTTAGTTTTCAGTGGGAATCACATGGAGGTCAACCTGTTAGGGTATATTATTGGTAATGGGCCAGTTAAATCCTATTACTGATAATCCCTTTTTCCCATTTCAGCCGTTAATTGATGAACATAGGTTTCCCCCATATACTTTCGTAACATACTAACAAACTGCCATAAGAAGCTAACATACTGCCATGCTTCTCGTTAGCGCAGGCAGGGTTACCATACCATTTTTACCCATAAAAAAAAAAACCAGCATATCCCTTTAGCGCAGGCAGGGTTACCATACCATTTTCGCCCATCAAAAAATATATACTACCATGAGGAACTAATTAATTGCCATAAGGAACTAATGGACTGCCGTAAATAACTAACAAACTACCAAAAAGAAGGCACAACTAAAGGAGATTGTCCAAGATAGATGAGAATGAAAAGGTCAGTTAGCCTATAGTGATGAATTCATTTGAATCTGACCATGATGGTTTTCAGGGGGATTCATGCTGACAGGGTATTGTTAGCAATATGGATGCTAATTCCCATTACTAAAAATCTCTTTCTCCTCCCACACTGGTTTGAAGAGTGGAAAATTGCAATAAAATTATAGGGTACTGAGGCATAACATCTTAGTCCAGGGGGAAAGATATTGTTAATAATAGAACTAGAGGCCTCATTGCTAACAATATACTTTATCATGTATACCTCCATGTGAATACTCCTGGAAACCATATTTATTGTTTTTTTTTATGAATATATCACTATGGGCCAACTGACCTGCTTTCATCCTCACTTATCATCTCTCACTGGTGCCCTGCCAGTGTATAGCATTAGCATAGGTGGAATTACTATTCTATTCTCATCCATTAAAAAAAAAAAACATATTAGTCCTCCGGAATAACAATGCATGAAGAGTGACATGTGTGACAAAGTATACTCCGTTATATGGCTGGCCATAAATACTGTTACATAAAAATTTTTCTTTTTTTCAAATATTTAATTATTTTGAATTCGGAACATGTTTATTTATTATTTTAAAAACTTTTTTCAATTTCCTGCCATTTCACATATTTTTCGGGTTCACTATCAAATTACAATATAGAATAGGGTGTTAAAAAATAGGATTGCAGTGATTGTCTTACACAAAGTGGGTATGGAGCCGTCAGTCATATTGTAGACATTTCAAAAGCTTGGTATCAGCAGTATGTTCGTATATCGTACTATCAACAAATACAACGACACTTCTCTGTCCAAGACCAGAAAATATCGGGGCGGCCGCATGCTGTTAGAACTACAAAGGCTGTTTAATGCTGTTAAAGCCAGAATTCGTCAAAGCCATTCCATTAGGAAGCAAAGAATCTTATCACGAGAAATGAAGATTCCGGCTAGGACTATCGCATATTATAAAACAAGACCTGAAGCTCGGTGCTTATTGTTGATATACAGGACATTACTTCATAAAAAAAATATATTTTCAGTTGAAACAACTTATGGCTGGACTAGGTTTAGTTGATAGTTACCACTTTCTATCTTTAGTTCCAGCAGCTAGAGGTAAAAAGGGAGATCCGAAAGTAGGTGTGATAAAGGATGCGAACAGTAGGTAATTAGAGAGCAAATGGAAGGTTTAGATCAGTGTTTCCCAACCTTTTTTGTGCCATGCCCCACTAGAACATTTCTAAAATTTTTATGCTCCATATATAATTTTTCCCGATAAAGTTTACTTGATCTAATCGATATTTTGGTTGATATTTTGGTAACATCAAACAAAATTATACCTAATAAATATTTACAGCATTTTTTTAATTTTGTTAAATTTGGTACCAATATCTACTCTAGCATTGCATTTAAATAGCTCGGAGCAAGATGGATTACCCTCTTAGATCACTTGAAGAGATATTATGAAAGCTTATTTAAACATGAAAGTGTGACAGAAGTTCAAAATAAAATTATTAGGGAGGAAGTTGATAGTATAAATGATATAAATATGAATGATGTAATGAATTTAATGAAGATAATGGAAGTAGGTAAGGCAGTGGCTTTAATAGAATATTTGCTGAAATTCTTATAGAAGGTCTATTTGTGTACCAGGTGACTAGGGAAAAGCTATTATTATGCCACTATATGACAGCAGGTCACAACAAGAGTGCAAAATTGTACATGGCATTCTTAGCACCATAAGTAAATTTTATGCTAGAGTTTTGATTAAAACAGTAATGAATGAAATAGACAGCAAAATTTGGAATGTATAAGCAGGTTTTTGAAAGAGTATAAGATTTACGGATCAAGTTTTTTCCTTAAGGTGCAGAGAAAACTTTAGCTCAACATCAGAAGGTTATTTGCACCTTCATTAACTTTAAAAAAGTTAGTTTAAAACTTAAAAACTTCAAAACTTAGAGTGGAGAGGAATGAACTGTGGCACATACTGGTTATGTATGGAGTGGGCAGCCATTAGATATGAGAGTTCAAATCCTATAAGGATTTCATTTCTTGTGTCAGAATAAATGATGTCTATATGGGTTGGTTTGGCATTGAATGTGGAGTTAGACAGGGCTGTATAACATTTCCTTAGCTGTTTAATCTATTTATGGATAGTTGCTTGACTAATTAAAAAAATCTGATTGTGTATTCCTAATCGATGAGTACATGATAATCGATGAGATGATAAATAGCATTAAGACTCTTATATATGCTGACGAGTAAGTAACTGATACAACAAATGTTGACAGTAATGAATGAAATATATACAACAAAATGTGTGAAAATTAATGTAAAGAAGAGAAAGTATTGGTTATATAAAACATTGAAAGTTTAACATCATGTCCGATAATGACAGAAGATAATAGAGTGGAATCAGTGAGTGAGTTTCTATAATTGGTTTCATTGTTTATGAAGAATGGATAGCGTAAGGGGGATATATTGAGAGGACAGTGAAACCAGGAAACAGTGTTAACGGTGTACTAGTCTCAATTATAGCAAGCAAAAATGTATTGTTCATAGCTTGTTTTGTCATAATTAGGGGAGTAGTGACACTAATACTCATAGGTGGAAGCGAATTATGTCTTCTACCATAGTAAAAGAAGCCTGAAAACAGAATAAATGTGTAGTATGTGTGTGTGTATTAAAATGAATGAGAAATAGTGTATTTTTTTTAATGGAAAATAATGGAATGGCAACCCCGCCTGCGCTAACCACCAGTGAGAGATTATAGGTGTGAACGAAATGGCAGATCAGTTAGCCCATCGTTATGAATACAACTACAATTCAGCACAATGGTTTCTAGGGGAGACCACATGGAGATCGACCTGAAAGGATATATATCTAGCAATGGGACTGGTAGTATTAGTAATACCCCTCCCCCTTCTAGTAGGCTTGAATATTTCACATTTCACAAGTGAAATATCATTGTACTCCAAATAATATTGTTACTACAGCTACGTCGCCTCACAAAGAGTGCTACATATCACTGCAAGTGAAATCACAGATAGTTATTGCTGTTTAGTAATTATTCACTCTGACTCGTTCGTTTGAACTCTCGCTCTCGCCACTCAGCACGTATAACACGTCGTCATTTTATATATAGTTTAAAATAATAAATATTCAATAATACTAAGTGCCTTTGGACTTTACATCCACTACAACCTGCATGCCATAGTAAGGTATATAAATACTATACAATTGCGTTCGGTTTTATTCGTGAGTCAGCTGCGTTTGGTTAGCAGTGAAGTGAAATCGCATCAGATGACAGACAGGGTCTTATAGAGCGAACGAATCGAGACTATCACACTGAATGCAGTGTAAGTCTCGATTGATATGATATTATATTCTATTACTTTTTATTGAAAGAGTAATAGAATATCATATTTCACATTTAATTTTCAATATATAAGTGCAAATAGTAGTGATAGCGACAATATAACATTGTGACCGAAAATCACTTTTTGTGATTTGTCACTGGTAATATCACAATGAATAAAAATAAAAAATTCAATAAATGATAATGAATTAAATATAGCAATAATTTGCATGCGTAACTTCTAGGGAACTTTTACTCTAAAATGAAATGTATGTTCACAGTTTGTCTGATGAAGACCGGGACAATGCTGATTCTCTGGTAATCAAGCCACCTCAAGCAGTTATTCACACTTCACATAAAAGGGGTCATAAGAGGTCCAACAGAGACAGATACAAAGATAGTAGCAGAAAAGAAAAAAAGCACCTTTACAGGTAGTACTATAAATAGGTTTTAACTAAAATATTGTAAGATGGCTGTATCTTTGAAAATAATTTTATATTATCATAATTTTAATATAAAACACTAGTTTATATTATATGATATGCTATTTTCAAAAATATAATTAGAAAGTTTTTACCAGCTCTAGTTTCTGAGTTTCAGCTATTTAGGTATAAAACAGAAAAAACATATATACCAAGAAAAACTTTATTAAATATAATAATTAATCATTGTGTTCTAAAAAACTTTGTTTTAAAGCTCTTTCCTGATGTGTAGGCTTTGGAAAATGACGTATCAGAGACCAATTATAGTCAGAAACCATATTTGTATCTCAGAAACCCTGATAGCGTTTTTCCATGACGCTTAAGTCTTGATGCATACGCTCTACCTGCTCTTCGCTCATATCTCCTAAATTTTCCGGAAACCTGTCCAGGTGGCTATGGAGAAAGTCGAGTTTTATACTCATATTGCACCCCATATTTTTTAATTACAGAAAGTCTTTCATAAGTCCAATGTAATTTTCAAATTTTTTAATACCGAGAAAATTTTATATCACAGAGACGAAAGCTGTCCAAGCCTTTAGTTCTGAGTCATAGAATTTCTAAATTGAGTATTTTTCGTAAGTTGTCTAATTTGGGGGCCATCAAAAATACCAGCTTTAATCTTTTTCATAGTGAGCTGAGGAAATTTCCGTCTTTATCTAGTGATTTAACAAACTGGTAACATAATTGTTTTAAGCCTATTTTTATCAACAAGTTTTTGATATCTGAACAAAAGGTAATACAGTTTTCTTCGGAAAAATAACGCCGTAAGTTTTTATTTCTTTCACGATAAAAAACTTATTTTCGTGTTTGCGGAAAGAAATGTTTTTCTTCCAGTTTGGATACTAACAATTCGATTAATATATACGCTAAAATGACAAAAATCAAAAACAAAGTAACTAGAGCTGTTCAAAAAATTTTAACGGTACATTTGACAAAAACAAGTTATAAGTGAACATTATCAACCACAAAATTCGCGGCAACAGACAAAAAGTTAAATTTTGTAAACTAGTGTAATAGAAGGAATTTTTTTATATTATCTACAGTCTAAATTATTTAATAATGGAATATTTCCTATCAATTCATTTATATGATTAATGGTATTTAACATTTAGAATTTTATATAAAATATAAACCTTTTCAACAGGGAGCGTGAGAAGACAGAAAAATCTAAAAGAGAACTGACTAAAAATCCAGATCGTGAGGAGAATTATTATCGTGAGAAACAGTACTATAGAGAGAAAGAAGCATATAGAGAAAAGGATCTTTACAGGGAAAAGGAAGCATATAGAGAAAAGGATCTTTATAGGGATAAAGAAATGTACAGGGACAAAGAGTCATACCGAGATAAAGACGTGTATAGGGAAAATAAAGATATAAGGGAGAAGGAGTTATATAGAGAAAGGGAAATCAGAGAAAGAGACATTTACAAAGAGAAAGATATGTACAGAGAAAAGGATACTTACAGGGAAAGAGAACATTATAAAGATACTTACAGGGACAATACATCGTTTAGGGAAGCAACTAGACCTCGAGAAGCTTATAGAGAGAAAGAAATATATAAAGATAAAGAAATTCAAAGAGAAAGGGATATGTATTTGAATAGAGATAGACAGTACAAATATACTGATGCTGAAAGAAAACGTGTTGAAACTGATAGAATAGAATCACGATTAAGGTTATTAGCAGAAGAAAGTCACACTAATCAAAGTAATGAGAAAGAAAATAGAGATAGGTCTTCAGGGGATAAAGAGCTGGAAGATTTAAGATCTAGATTACTTAGCAAAAGAATATCTAAAGAGCTGCAGACGCAGGATTCAAAAAAGCACCAAAGTTTTTTGGAAAAAGATGGAAGATCAGATCGCCATAGTTCATTAGATAAACATCAACAGGAAAGAAGGAAAAGATTAATAGAAGCAGGTGAGAACATTATAATATATATATATATATATATATATATATATATATATATATATATATATATATATATATATATATATATATATATTTATTTTTACAATGATAATTATGCATTGAGTATCCAGATCACATTTCAGTTTTTAATGTAGTATTTGGCATTTCAGATCGTGAAATGGAAAAACGGAAATACGAATCGCGTCACGAGTTAGAAGCTAGAAGGGAAGAACGTCGCCGTCGTGGCAAGAAGCGCTCAATGTCGCCCGATGATAGTTCTAGTAAAAAGTCAAAGACCAATCACTCACCTAATTACGGTGATTCGGTTGTAACAGTATCAGATGCTAGTGACGTAGAAATGAAGAGTGACTCAGCACATTCCGAACCGGAAGATGGTTAGTGAACATTGTTCATTGTCACATACTAAATCTCATTATTTTACATAAATTTGTAATTTGTTTAAAAACTAGCAGGTGATAAGTATCACCTGAAATTGCATTTCGAATTGAGTTGTACATTCATAAAAAATTAATAAATAAGTTTACTTCAATAATTTTTTTTCTATATTTACAAATTGTCATATAATTATTTTATTTTTAGGTGAACATTCCAATACTGAAACAGATAGTTCCAGTACAGACTCTGATTCCGATGTAGATTCAAAGTCTGAAGAAGAGGAAGACAATAATAAAGAAGAGGATAATAAAGAAAAAGAAGATGAAAGGGAACAAGTAACAGAAAAATCAAAACCAAAGTCTCCCACTCCTAAGTCTGGACGGGGTACCCCATCATCTCATGAATCAGGAAGGTAAAGTACATAGCACATTTACTATTCATACTAATAATAATAATAATAATAATACTTTGTTCTTTTTATTATAAAAATTCAGAATAACAGAATTCTAAATATATATTATGTCATTTATACGATTTTAATGTTTCCAGATCACATTCTAAATCTAAGAGTAGAAGCAGATCACATTCGTTTTCTCCCCCATCAACTGGCGAGAATGGCAAATCTGCTACTGAAGAGGAAAAATCTAAAGAGGATGACGAGAAATCAAGGATACGGGAGGAAGCTATCAATGCACTACCTCCTTATTTTCCAGCCCTACAGGTAAATAGTTTAAAATTCTTTTAGTAATATATATGAGGTAAATAACATACTTTACATAGTTGAAGAATATTCAACTATTTTAAATAATTGTCACCAACCTGTATTTTTTTGTTCCTTGGTCATCAATTTGTTTTGTTTTGTACTGATATCCTATTAGTGAATACCTGATGATAGGGAGTCAGAAAAATAACAGGTAATAATTGTATTTTCTTTTTAATTTAGTCTCTGTTTATCGATTCGGGACGTTGTCAGTATGAATGAGCCCTGTTTGTCTGGGCTAAGTTTGAGTGTGATAAATGTTAGCTTGTTTCTTTAATTATTGTGTATTTTCCCTGACTGTCATATCCTCACTGCTCTGTTATGATCTTAATATTCTGAATGACTGTACTTAGCTTAAGAGTTATATAAACTCTTAAGACTTTTTGTTTAATTGTACATCTTGTTAATTATTGTAATTTTATAGGGTTGTCGATCGGTTGAGGAGTTTCAATGTCTCAATAGAATAGAGGAAGGCACATATGGAGTTGTTTACAGAGCTCGCGATAAAACCACTGAGGAAATAGTCGCTTTAAAACGACTAAAAATGGAAAAGGAAAAAGAAGGATTCCCAATTACATCGCTGAGAGAAATTAATACATTGCTGAAGGTAGGATCACAATCAAATTTTTATTTCTATAAGCTCACTTGAGCCATCACGTTGCATCACCGCTTTCTAATTTAAGGTACACTCGTTTTTTGTTGTAATGTAAAAAAGACAAGAAACGCAGCTCGAATGAGCCGCGAGCCTGTGAAGCACTCGATGGCTCATGTGTTTAATTCATTTAATTAATGCCATGTATTTTATTCCTACAGGCCCGGCACCTCTTACCTGCAAGAGGGTTGTGCTAGAGGTGTGACCCAATTGCAAGGGTTAACAACTTCGATACACGGGCGGGCCTAAGTATCTTATAAGGAATTTATTCCAGGGGACAATCCCTCCAATGCTTTCCCCTTATCACATGTAGGAATGTGATATTTATTTGAAATATTTTATTTATCAATATTCAAAGTGAGTTTGAGATGGCGGTGCAATATATTTGATCTATCGTTGTGTCCCTAATAAATATACAACTGACGACAAGAACATCATCTACCATCATTAAGAGGTAATGTTTAGAGTCATTTCCACTGTAGTCGTTGGATTGAGAAGCCTTTATGAATACACGATTTCCATGAGATATGAGACTTTCGCATATTTGCATATTTCATTTACTGGTGTATATTAATTTTTTTTTAAATATTCTTTGCCATTATTATTTATAAGAAAATCTATCATTACTTGGTCATATGATATAAAGTTATGAATGTGGATATAAATATTAGTAACAACGCTTTGTGGGAATGGCTCATTCTTATTATATAGTTAATGACAGTAAAAGTATTACTTACATTAATTAATATAATTATATATTTTTAAAGGGCATGACACCAAGGTTTTTAATTATATAAAAGAAATGTACGATATACATTGTTAGTGCACGATAATAATGGTATAATGTTTCTAGGTAATGTTATGTCATTTTGTTAAAGTAAAATTTTAGTGATTGATTTAATGCGTCCTGAATGGATTATGAAATTAACAGTTATTAACATATATTTCAAATTATACATAGATGAATCATTAGGAAATCAAATATTTTTATTAACGTATCTGTCTTAAGTTATTAGTAATAACATGTTATTTTTAAAACTAACAATTACGTAAAAATGAAAAAGGTATTTACGTAATTAAAATGAAAACATATCGTTACACATGTTTGTGGCATACAAGCTATGTGGATAATGGTGTTATCTTTTGTAAGCTCAAATAACGGACAAGATTTTCTACGCATACTTTTTTACCGACTGCTTATGTTCGACGCAGTAGTAAGTGCTCACAACTTGGTCATGTGAATTTAACAATAGGAATTTCCAATATATTTTTTATTTACTCTATTTAAACTGGAAATTATCCATGTAAATGTCGATTGTGGAAAAATGTGATGGTGCATTATTTAATACAGAGTGCACAGTTATTGTCAAGATTATATTACCAATGTACGTTATTATTCCAAAAGTGATACTTGGAGTCTGATTACCAATAATAAAACTAAAATTAATGCTAAAGTAACGCATTTCATGTTTAGTTTCAGACTGCAGCAATGCGTTTTGCAATACTTTGGACTACATTATGTGTATGTCGGTATGTGAGATGAATGTGAAATATTCCAATGCCAATTCGGTTTTGTGTAGAAATGACAGATGCACGTAGCATTTCATTATGTTGTGAATAATAGATATTATTAATAAATCTTTAGAAACTATTTGACATATAAGTTACAGTTTAACATTTGAAATTGTAACTGGTGACCAGCTCTCAAATTTCCTGAAATACCCATGGAATTGGTCATACGTGTTCGTACCGGTGAAGCTGTGGGCGACCGTAAATGTGAGTTATTTACCGCAGTGTTTTTATGAAGTACAATCGTGAAGAATCACGCAAGTTCTGCGAGGGAAAGTGGTTATTTATTTATTTAGATAACTTTGTAAACTAAACGAGAATAGAATATAAATGGTGACGGCTTAATGCTAACGGCGTTTTATGTCAGTCAATAGTAAAAGTGAGTGTTTTCATACTAATCATATGTACTAGATGTAAGCGCCTATGGCCTCTTTAAAGCGGCAATGTCAGTTAAAAGTTTTCTTAGAAGTGGTGGCGTTAATAAGTCTTAGAATGTTTTGTTATTAAACTGTTACTAAAAGAAACAAAAGAAAATTGGTGTAAAAAAATGGTCCTGGATTAATCCTGATGTTTTTACTAAAAATATTAGACTTTATAATGAGAACTAATCTCTAATTGTACTGTAATCAGCAGGTAAAAACTTGAAGTGATAACTGAAGAGTAAAGACATATTGATTATGTACATAGACTCCATGTCAGCTGTCAGCTCGGAAGAAAATGGTTTTTAATGTCTGGTAGACAATAAAGCAAAGTCTCGTGGAAGTTGACTTTGCATTGGGAGATAAGAATTATTGGTCCCATACAAGCTGTAAAGCACAATTTTAAAACGACTGGAGAAAATGAATGGACTGTTGCATAAGACTTAGCAGATCTCCAAAGGGTATATGTACATATCTACACAATAACAATACAGAATGTATTGACAGGTAAAAGAGTAATCAAATTTCTAAGATCTTCGCCAGAAATCTAGTTATTATACGAAGTTAAGCCGAAATAGAGGGTCGATACCAGCAACATATTCTGCTAAATCAAAGATTTGGAATTACATCGAAAAGTTCTTTATGGAAGATTGAAAATATCGTCACTACCACCACATACTAAAGCGAATGACATAACTAAAGATCTCAAATCCGCTTGGATATAAACGGGAGCAGTTTATACGAGATTGATTGGTTATCAAACAGCTTAAAATGGTGAAGCACCTGGGAAGAAGTAATCACATCATAGGTTGTGTAAGTTGATGAGAAAAATGTAGATACTTATTTTTCTCCTCCGAAAGATTACAGTATAATACTTAGCTGAAAAAAAAGAAAGTTAAGAGCTGCCTTATTGTTTCAAGCAATTTCTTCCATATAAACTTGAGATGCAAAAGAGTATAAATAGTTTGATTGGATGTACAATGTAGGAAGCACCTGTACAAAGGATCCACAAGCTATTACTGCTGGTTATTTATGATGACTAATATGAAAAATTTAGAAGGAAAAAACGGAAAGAAGAAATACTATTACAAGTAATGTTCTTGTTAAAAATGCTCTCGATGTTCAGTAGTTCAGAAAGATGGCAACAGCAATTTTTACTGAGTTTGCAGCTGCAACAAGTCTACAACAAACTATCATAAGCAGTTGAGCACGTTGAGTCGCCAATTGTACTTTTTTATTTTGAAAGAAGAGAAAGATATGTCATGCATTTAGCTGATTTAAGAAATCATATGACGCTACATTTACTATTGATTACTTATTATTGAAGAACTTGCGGTGGTCACTAGGAATAACCTAGAGAGGAAGTTCATTTCACCACATGAGCGTTTGTGCAGTACAACTTTTCTAAAAACGCACTGTACATGTACGTGATTATTTATGATCTAAAGTGGAAGGACGTTTAATGGTAGCTATGAGCATCATATCACGCAATTTCTCAGAATTCTATCTCTTATACAAACGGTAGTATACATAATGAGAGCTACGTTTCGTTGACAATATTTATAGGTCTAAACAGAGTTAAAAGGATTAAGTGGTATCTGGTTACTTTTGCCTATCGGGTAGACCATTATGTATTTCATGCGGGGTCAGACTTTTTAATTTGTTTAGTAATTGTCTTTCTCTATATGACTAAGACAAACTCAATGACTTCCAGCCATCCGAAGAAGCTGGCTACCGAAAGGGTTTTAGAACCATAGACCACATGCATACACTACGGCAGATTATACTGAAGACCGAAGTATAATCTGCCACTATGTCTGGTGTTTGTGGACTATAAGATAGCCTTTGATTCGGTTAAGACATGAGCGGTACTTCGGTCCATCCAGTGGTGCCAGATTGACTATAGGTATATCGAAGTGAAATGTATGGACAGTAAGATTATGTCTATTCGAGAACAGAATCAGAGTACGAAACCCATCTCAGTGCAGAAAGTTGTAAGACAGAGTGACATCATATCCTCGAAACTCTTCACAGCTGCATTGGAAGATATTTTCAAACTCTAGGACTGGAAAAGATATGGTATAAACATCAATGGCGAATACATCACTGAACTTCGATTTGCCGATGACATAGTAATCATGGCAGAATCCCTGGAGGATCTGAATTATATGGTCAATGACCTCAATGGTGTTTCTCAACAGGTAGGTCTTATGATGAACATAGATGTTAGACATAGATACCTGTTCTAATTTTGAGGATTCTGCATCTAAAATAATAATACACGTGCAATAAAGATACAATTGGGGGTAATTATGTAGAAAACATCCATGTAACAAAATCTACAAACTAAGTTATAAGTATTTTTCTATTGACTGTTCTGCATCGTTTATTCATTGTGTTGCTTTTTAAATAAAGGTAATTAGATTGTTAGTATATGTATTACTATTATTATTACAGAATTAGCTAATTTTGCATTTTATTCAAAATGTGGTTGCGTTATTTAAAATACGTACTTTTCTGCAGAACTTTTTCCAATTTATATTTCCAATATATATTGGAAATATATTCTTGACAATTACTTTATTATATTTGATTTAGTTGTAATTTAAAAAAAAATCTGTTCAGTAATATATATTATAGTCGTGTTAGGAAGGTATAAATTATTCAATAATTTTCATAATTGTTGATGTGTTATTTGATGGAGTACAGAAAAGAATCAATTAACTAGAAATAAAGTAATTGACGGTCAACGATCCGAAACTAATTTCTTCTTATATAAAAGACGAGTTGTGAATATTTTCTAATGAAACAAGGCTGTTAGTTTCTATTTTAGTTGAAATTTGTATATAATTTCTCTCTAATATGAATTTTAAGGTAATTGTTTTATTAAAAAAAAGGAACTGTCAATTTCCCAAATTCATACTAATGAAAATCGCTGGATTTTATAAATTAATATATTTCCAATAT